ATTCCCCCCTTCCCGCATTCTTCGCGGCTGGTCCAAAGCCACACCGGTAATAAACAGAGGGCATGACCCATGCAGCGGAGAAGGGCCTGCCGACTCTGCGTCGAACGAGGATAGATATGGTGCTTGTCGGGAGTTGGGGCCCAGCCGTGGAGGCGCCGGGGCGCCGAGATTAGCAGCAGCGCGAGGTGGAGGCAGGTTGGGTTGAGGGAACTAAAGTTAGGATACTCGTTACCTCGTTAGTACCGATGTACGCGGTAAGAGAAGCGAGCCGCTGTTTCAATGGCGGTGGGGCTTGGCGCAGCAGCACCGATGCACTGACGTTACGGTACGGTACGGGGTGAAAAATTACGGGAACTCTAAAGGGAGATTCGATGCATCTTAACTATTGTAGAGATCGATGGACGCTGGCAGGAGCATGGCGGTAGCAGGGGGTTACAGGAGACAGTCCATGGAAGAACAGAAGATTGTAAATGGAGCATCCAGTCTGGAGGCATGAGGTATGTATGTATTTACTCTGTATACTCCGTACTCTGTTCGTAGATATGGAGTGCAACGCCTCCCGCCATGTCGACGAGGAGGACGGACCACCAAGTCACCAGAGAGAAGACGATGGCAATTCTCCCTTCAACACACTTCGACTTCTTCAGCCACGGTTCAACTTCTTTCTGCCTGTAATTCTTCTCTTCCCCTTCGCCAGCCCGTCCTCCGCTGCCAGACGCGCAGCCCAGGTGCCTGTCCCTCTGCCCTTGCCACTGTCCGCCTCCTCATTTGCCCCCCCCCCCCCCAACAATCCGCACCAACACCCGCCTGGCCTCGAACTCTGGTACTGGAATTGTAGCAGCAGCAGCTGCAGGAATAGTAGCCGTAGTCCTAGTAGTAGTAGTAGTAGGACTAGCAGCAGCAGCAGCACCTAGGTAGTAAATAACAGCCGTAGTAGTCGTGGTGTGCTGCTCCTTGCCGCTGATTCCTCCTCCCATAAATATGTACCCACCACACACCCACACTCCCCCTCCCAGCCAATGGGCGCCCAAAACTTCTGGTCCCCTTCCCCTTCCTCCTCCTCTCCAACTCCAACCTTACCTTCAACCTCCACCTCCACCACCTCCACCCACCGCATCCCTTATCTCGGTTCCTCCGTTCCCCGACTCTCGCCTGTGCTCGCTATTGTTGTATAAGTCACCCGAGTCTGCGTTCTAGACGCGTTCCATGTGTCGCAAAAGGTATGCCGGCCTCCCTAGCCCGCCCAGAGCCGCCAGGGCAAAAATAATATAGCCCGCCAAACGCGTGTTTCAAAAACCCTCTCTCAACAATTGATTTCGCTTTGCCTTGTATCTGTGTCCTCCTCCAGAGATAGGCTGTTTCCTTCTCTTGGCAGATCTACTTTCTGGGGAGAACACTGGCCAAAAACTGGAGAATAAAAGTAAAAAATAAACGGCAGAGAAAAAAAAAAAGAAAAAGAAAAAGAAAAAGAAAAGTAACAGCTTGAATCACTGACCTTGTACTCCCTCCTCTATCTAGATCCAGGCTCCTCCGAGACTGCGACCAGACCTGCTTCCCCGAACTATCTGGACCCGACAGACTGTTGGCCTATTGCGTTTTCTTGGTCACTGGCCCTCGGACGGGCCTCCTGCGGATACAGACTCAAACAACATGGTATGTATGGTCTGCGCCGCGCCTGCGACTCTTTTTTTCGCGTTCCCGGACATCGGAGGATGTATTATGCTGAACGGACGGCAAATTCTTGTTCTTATAGGTCCTCTTCAAGCGCAAACCAGTTCAGTACCTCCCGCGACCAACCATTGAAGATGATAGTGAGGAGGTATGTCCTCCACTCCTGCGCATTCATATATATATATGTGTATATTCCTCCAGCGGACTTTGGTCTAAATTCTAACTTGTTTTCTTCGTTTGTGTTTGCGAGAAATAAAGGTCTGGGTCATCCCCGAAACAAATGAAGTGTTCACCAAGTATCAGCAGTTCCTTCATCGGTACGTGCCGTAATATATATGACTCTAGTTCTTTAGCTTCTTATTCTCATTATTGCTTTTGCGCGGCGCAAATTGCTGATTGTTTCTCTCTTTTCAGAATGAACTTCTACAAACAGGTACCTACACGGACCCTTCCCGCCCCCCTCCTTTGCGGGCTGAATAAGTCTCCGCGCTTGCGTTTCCTCTGTCTCCCGGAGAACTTTCATCTTGATGAGTTGTCTCTCCGGACACTTCAACCGGAAATGGATATGCTAAACAAGTCGATATTGCGGATATAGAAACGGTTCATCTGCGAAATAACCGGCCATTCCTCCCTTACTTTTTTTGAGGCTCTAAGAAGTGAAGTGCGTCGCCCACTGATTTACTTGGCACTACCATTGCTTTTTTGATATTGAAGGGTTCATCGTGCTAACTGTGCAGCAGACGGATGGTTCACGCGAAGTGAATAGCGCCTTTCCGGAGCCGTTGAAGGAACCGGTCTTGCGAAAGGTTCAATTTTCAACTATTTCGCGAATTGACAGCCTTGGTACGACATCATTTACTTTATTTTATTTATTTTACACAAGCCATCCTTGAAACTAACCTCAGTGTTTTGAATAGTCGACCAGGTTTTCGAAGTATGCCTGTTCCGATCTCTTTCTCTTGTCAAAGCTTCATATTATACTGACCGAGTTGTGAAAGGATTTTAAACAAGACTTTTACCCTGGCGAACGCGTTACTGTCCTCCTTACCAACGGAACCCGCCTACAGGGCATCGTTCGGGAAAAGGCCCGGTTCCCCGAATTAATGAATCAAAATGGTTCTATAGAGCGAAGAGCGTCGTCGAGATACTTGGTAAAGCTGGTGAGCCGGCCAAATGAGGAGGCGCTGCTGGACGATGAACACCTGGCCCGTGACAGGAAAATCTTTACCAAACAGATGCTGCGTTCATTCATCAGGAATACTGTAACAAGAGAATCGTGGACGGGTGCGCCGTGGCTGGTCAAACCACATATCGCCCATGAATACCGGATCGATACTGAAGTCCCGAAACATCTCCAATATGGAAATAGGGTCGGAGGGAAGAAAGCTAACGTGGCTGCTGGTAAAGAAGAAGACGAAAGCCTCTTTGGATTCTTTTATTCCAAACAACGATGGCCGAACCTCAAGTCTGCTGGCAAGGGACATAAATCGAAAGTCTCACTGCGGGAGCTTGCGAAGGCGAGGGATGACCGATATGAGGAATACCAACGAGCGTTAAACGAAAACCATTCTTTTGCTGTTTCCGGGGATGGCACTCACGATGGACATTGGCAAACACTCGATGATAGCGCCAACTCGTTTTCCGTTGTCATCCAAAATGGCCCTCCGCCGCAACCCCCTCCGCCACCTATCAAATACCCGATTGAGGATTTGGATATTCCACCCTCTCACAGCGATAAACTCCGGCCTTCCTTGAAATTCTTAACTGATGATCAACACTCAGAGCACCTGGACATGTCGCCCCAAGAAGATAGTTTACTGCGTGGCAATATCAAGATGGAATCTGTGGGACCTCTGCTCGAAACGTGGAACACATTGAATGTATATTGCCAGGTTCTCCAATTAGACTCCTTCACGTTCGATGATTTCGTCGAGGCAATGCAATTTTCTTCTCACGACGTTACCTGTGAGTTATTTGTGGAAGTACATTGTGCCGTGTTGAAGATGCTGGTGAATGAGGAGAAAGATCAAGATGGCGCCGTTCAGATCTCGCTACCTGCCCTTCCCGATGAGGAGTCTGAGGAGGAAGAGGATGACGAATCGGGGGAAGAAGAAGCTGAAGAACCGGAGCGAGAACCGACACCGCCCAGAAGGACTACTAGAAGCAGTTATGCGAAGGCTGAAGCGGAAAATTTGAAGCATCAATTGGAATCACGGAGCCGCTCTGGCACAGCTGAGGTACAAGTGCATCGCGCGGCGGATATGTTTGGAGAGTATGGGTGGATCGATCGGTTGCGGAAACGAAACTTCCAGAAAGGTGGTTGGGAACTAGTCATGATCGGGCTCCTTCACAGGCTATCCTACCGACCGCGACTGCGAAATCCTTGTGACGAGATCCTGGCCCATCTGGCACCGCTTGACCGTGAGCCAACGCAAGACACGGCGCAAGAGCAATATGTAACCCTCGACGTTAACTTGCGAGTGAGAGCTCTCCAAATTATCTGCATGCTCCTGCTTGAAACGAAGGCGATCAAGAATTACCTCGAAGAGTGCAGTATTCAAATGACCGAGTTCCGTAAGGAGAAAATCGACTACCAACGGGCTCGTAAAGCATGGTATGTTCTACCTTGCAGTATAGCCACATTTTTTTTTTTTATCATACTGAACTGTAGCTAACCGTTGTCGCTAGTCTTGAGGAGATTCGACGGCTGCATGAAGAGCGTAAACAGCTTCAACCTGAAAACCCGCCATCACCCGTTCCTGAATTGGAGGAGCTAACGGACGTGAAAATGACTGGTTTGGATGACGACTCGGAGGCAGCTGCAGACACTGACGATGAAGACGCGCACCCAGGAAGGTCCCTTCGCCGCGGGGAAGATAGGGCCGCAGAGCGAAAACGGCGGCAAGAAGAGGAGCGGGAGCGAAAAGAACAGGCTGCTAAATTACCCAAGGGATCGAAACAGTATCACCGAGTTCTGAAGAAAATCGAAGAAGAAAAGGCCAAAGTCAAGTCATACGAGGAACAGATCGCCATTCTGGACAATGACTTGCGAGAGGCCGATTGTCCTCGAACACGTGTTTTGGGTAAAGACCGGTTTTGGAATCGATATTACTGGTTCGAGCGGAACGCGATGCCGTTTGAGGGCCTCCCGACCAGCTCAACTGCGTCTGCAAACTATGCGAATGGCCGATTATGGGTCCAGGGCCCCGACGATATGGAGCGGGAAGGCTTTATTGATTTGCCGCAGGAGGAAAATCGAAAGTACATCCAGCGTTTCAAGATGACAGTGCGACAACGGAAAGAACTCGAGGAGGGTCCTGCGGGGGTTTTTAATGCGCAGGAATGGGGTTACTATGACGATCCGGAGTCCCTGGATCAGCTTCTCGCCTGGCTTGACGCTCGCGGTGTCCGAGAAGTGAAACTGCGCAAGGAGCTGCAGTTGTATCGGGATAGCATCGCCAAGTACATGCGGAATCGCACAGAGTATCTTGGTAAGAACGCCGAGGAGAAGAAGAGCGCAGAGTCGGAGGAAGAAGAGCCAGCGGCGATAACGACGATGTCGACACGGATGTCTAGACGGACGAAATCGTCCGGAGGGCAGGACTTGTCGAGTCGATATCGCTATCGCTGTCTGAAATGGAAGAACGGCGCTGCATTGCGGGAAAATGGGCATTTGCACGTCGAGCCGGCGCGGCCGACGAAGAAGGCTAAGCGGTCTACGGTTGTGGCTACGACTACGGCTGTGGCGGTGGATGAGACGAAGGAGAGGGAGAGGGAGAGGGAGAAGGAGAAGGAGGGCAAGCCAACGAATCGACATGGAAAGCCGCTTACGAGGCAGGGGACCAGGTATCAGTTTTGAGTAGATACCATCCATTGTTTTCCGAAAGCCCTTCCCTGCTACCGCAACGCCCTACCTTGATGACAGTAACAGCGCGGGGGGGCAAGTGGTGCGCCTCCGATGACCCCTAGAGAGACCGTCCGGATCACGCTCAGTCTGCCGTTTCGTTGTATTTGGCGAAGAACGACACGGCGCCCTCTCTCCCTCTCTGCTTCTTTAATCTGCTTAGCCTTCCCCATAAATTTTCCTTTTCCGGAGGATTTTTTTCATGAAGTTTTTACTTATTTCATTTTTGTTTACTTTGCTATTTCCCCCTCTAAAAACCAATATTTGGCATAGTGGTTTTGTTTAGCGAGGCGCTTCATTGCATAAACTCGGCGTTTCGTATTCCCATGACTCTCCCCCTCTTCTTTTATTTTATTTTTTATTTTATTTTTTATTTATTTATTTATTTATTTTATTTTTTTTTTTTTGATATAGCTTGGCCTATTCTATCACTACTATTATTACTTCTATTGGCATTTTTGTATGGTTTTGGAGGCGAAGGGAAGGGTTGCGCCGGCTATTTGTCAAGTCTACGTTTTGGCTGGGGGTGAGGAGTATTCTTTTGCTTATCATTCATCATCTTTCATCATAGGATACGAAAGGGCCGGTTGGCTGTTGGTCAATTACCTTTATATTACTTAGATATCATGCTATCGAGTCGAGCGGACAGTTATTATATAGAGATCTTCTTGCGTCATGTGGTTGGCAGCGTTGACAATCACGTGAAACTCCCCCCGGCGAATCTTCGGCATTTCCCAAGTCCCGCCCAATCACACGGGACCTCGGCGATATCTCACGTGGCCAGTCGCCCGAAGCAGCCTAGCTCGCCGACGCCAGCCGACGTATTCTGGCGTATTTCGATACGATACACGGTTGTCGCAATGTTTCCTCTGCCAACAACCAAACCCTCTCTGCTCTCCGCTCTCCGCCCTCGAGGCATCGATTCGAACGGACGGTTGGCGGCGCGAAAGCCACAGCATCGGTTCCTCTTCCTACATTGTCTTGCTCTCTCCCCCACTCGACACGGAGTCGTGGAAGATATGCCGGCGGCTCAGTCAATAGCCAGACGAGTATCCCATCGCCCGAAGACGACGTCCGTACGATTAGTATAACCATTCTGGCAGCGATGTTCCAGCGCAAGACAGACGGATGAACAAGGATTCCTTTTCCTTTTCTTTTATAGGATACTCTTTGCGCCCTTTGCTGCTTCATTGTCGAACATTCCGTGTTAATCTGGACCAAGCCACGGAGGTTACCCGAGGTTTCAAGTTTCGGAGAATTTCGCTAGCATATCTAAAAGGTTGTACAATATCGACACACGACGAGACTACTTTGCATCCAAGACAGGAACGCTGGCATATATACCCGCTTCGCAGAAAAGCAACATAGCACTCTACAAGCACTTTCTCCTCTCCGGCGGCCCCCCGAACAGCAGAACACCCACCAATTGAAACAGACTGCGCCAACAAACTTCGTAAATCCGATTTCAAGCTCCGCCCTCGCGTCCCTCGACGGACGCCCACAATCGAAGGCACGGCCGGTCGTTGCGGAAGCCGGAAGCCGCCCATGGATGCAAAGATGGAGATGCTGAAGATGAAGGGAAATGCGTCAACGATTCCGCCTGCGAGAGAGTCCCCTGTGGGTAGAGATGGAAATGGAGCGGGCCTAGTGCGGGCTGAGCTTGCGGCGGACGCGGATATGGATGTCGAGGTGGATGTGACTGCGGATAATGTGGGCGGTGTGAAGGCGCTGGATAAGCGGAGTTTTGAGTATATATTTCGAAGTGGGTTGGCGGGGGGTTTGGCGGGGTGCGCGGTATGTTTTAACCTTCTTTTTTTTTCTGTCCCTGTCTATCTATATTGATGGTTCCCCCTTGTGTTAATGGCCATTGCCTGAAAAGAAAGGAAGAGGAAAAAGGGAAATGAAAGGAAACTATTGTGATCTGAAATTCTGACCGCATATACACAGCGAAAACAGTCGTCGGGGCCCCCTGGACCGTGTCAAGATCCTCTTCCAGACTTCTAATCCCCAAATTCGCCAAATACTCCACCGGCTGGTTTGGTGTCGTGCGCGCCATGCAGGACATAAACAGCCACGAGGGCGTGCGGGGGCCTTTTCAAGGGCCATTCGGCAACCTTACTGCGGATCTTCCCGTACGCTGCTATCAAGTTCCTAGCCTACGAACAAATCCGCGCCGTGGTAATCCCGGCACGGGACAAAGAGACGCCGTTCCGCAGATTGATCAGCGGCAGCATGGCCGGGCTGACGTCGGTTTTCTTCACGTACCCGCTGGAGGTAATGCGGGTGCGCCTGGCGTTTGAGACAAAACATAATGTCCGCTCGTCGCTGCGGAGGATCTGTCGGCAGATTTACAACGAGAATAAACCCACGACGGGATCCGCTCCTGCCACCACCGCGACAACAGCTACAACTACAGCCACAGCCACATCTTCTCTTACATCACCATCAAAACCCCACACACTCTCATCAACGCCCCTCCACGCCCCGCGCTACGGCCTCTCGAACTTCTACCGCGGCTTCTCTCCCACCCTCCTCGGCATGCTCCCCTACGCCGGCGTCTCCTTCCTAACACACGACACCGTCGGCGACTGGCTCCGCCAGCCAAAACTAGCCCCCTACACCACAATCCCACACTCCGACAAACCTCCCGCCACCACCGGCACCGCCCAACCCTACAAGCGCGTCCAACTAACGGCCCCGGCCGAGCTCCTCTCGGGCGCGCTGGCGGGCCTCGTGTCGCAGACGAGCTCGTACCCGCTGGAAGTCATCAGGCGCCGCATGCAGGTTGCCGGGGCGGTGGGGGACGGGCATCGGATGCGGATTGCGGAGGCGGGGAAGCGGATCTTTGCTGAGAGGGGGTTTCGGGGGTTCTGGGTCGGGCTGACGATTGGGTATATGAAGGTTGTGCCTATGGTAGCGGTGAGCTTTTATGTGTATGAGAGGTCGAAGTGGTGGTTAGGGATTTAGGAATTGGATTAGGTGGGTCGGTGGCCTTTTTTTTTTTTTTTTTTTTCATTGTTTTCTGAGTTTCTTTGTTTCTTGTTCTTGTTTCTGCTGCATTGAGCGAGATATAGCTATTTTTCTTTGTTTTTTTCATCTCTGGATAGGATTTTGTGAGGGACAGGGGCGTCCCCACCACTTTTTATTTTTATTTTTATTTTTATTTTTATTTCTGGGACATGGCACATGCTATTCCTTCCACATTTCTCTCTGCTCATGCTCTTCATATATTTGATTTAAACCTCAGCCCTTGTATGTATATAGAGGCATAGCTGTCCCCCTCACAGCTGTACATATGGACTATCTATCCCCTTTGTTGTTTCTATCGTCCGTATCTATTTATCCGCGCCAAATACACCTTTTTTCCCCTGCATGCTGTCTTTTATCCCTACCCCCCCCTCCCCCTTCTTCTTCTTGCATAAGGATTGATGTAACTCCAATAGATACCTCTTATATATATATATATATTCCAGGAAAGGATTTCATGGGAAACGGATATCATCTCGATTGGCCCGTTTTGGAAATAGGGTAATATTATTTTTGGGAGTATGAAGTATGAATGGTCTGGTGGAATGAGAGAGAGAGAGAGAGAGAGAGAGAGAGAGAGAGAGAGATTGGGGAAGTGCTTTCAGCTGCCATGTGGAATATATATTTATTACATGATCTATTGCATAGAGAGTATTGCAGTGATATCTTAACCGTAGTCACGATTACTTTGATGAGAAAATGTGCTATGTACAGTACATATACATATAGATATAGATATAGATATGGTGCAGTTTTTGATTCTCCGCTTTTAAAGTTGAATATGTATCACATATCCCCCCGTTCCCCGGGGGACCAGCCTCTACACATTCTATCCATATTAGTAATAATAATAATAATAACTAGTTAATAATAATAAAGTCAAACAAGCACCCTCCTCAAGCCCTCTGACCCACCCAGTACTCTGCGGCCGGTAACCGCACACCTGCCCTTACCACTCTCCCACTTCCCAACCCGACTCGTCCTACTATTATCCACATCATTCCTTTGCTCGTCATCCGCACCACTCGTCTCCGCAGTGGCCCTGTTTGCCGCATGTTCTTCCCCATCCCCATCCCCTCCACCGTCATCCTCCCACTCCGAGCCCCCACCATTCATAAAGTCAATCTGCCGCTCATGCTCCCCGTTTATCCAGCGGAATATGCAGCTGTAGCAGAAGACATAACCAGTCTGGCAGACGGCGGGGTTTTTGAGAGGCCTAAGGCAAATGGGGCATGGGGATTGATTGGGCGCAGAGGCAGGATCCGAATCAATTGCGGTCGGGTCGACGGCTGGTAATGGCACGGTGAATATGGGGAGGTAAGATGTGGAGGAGATGGGCGGCTTAGGGCGTTGGGGGATATGTGTTTGCGGGTTTGGGGGCTTGTTGGTGGATTGGCTGGCAGACGTTGTCGCCATTTGTGCCTTAGTGGTAGCCGCTATTGCTGCCGCAGTCGCCGCCGTAGGCGATATCATGCCTGAGGTGACAGGGGGGGGTAAGTCCAGCGCCTCTGCCGCTTTGCGCGCGAGTTGGTGCGAGAAATCGCTCGCGTGCCACCACTCCAGAAACTTCAGGGCGAATATGGAGGTTGGGAGGAAGATCTTTAGCGACCCAAGGAGATGTGGGTATATGTTTTGTGGCCTGAGGAAGCTCAACGCTCCCCGGGGCCTGGCATTAGGAGCGTCCAGTTTCGCCTTGGGAGGCTGCGTAGCTAGCTCTATTGCAGCATGGTCGGCGGGGCCTAGCCTTCGTATCCGCGTGCCTATGAGCCAGAGGAATGGCGACGAGTACTTCGTGTTATCGAACAGATAGGCCAGGTTAAAGGCTAGAATGGCGAAGTAGTATGCTGCATTCAGTGACGGGTAGACGTTCCGCAGGAACCATTTGTAATAGTGGATTAGCAGCTGGCGCACGGTAGGGTTGTGCGGGAGGCCGTCGTCCGGATTATACCGTGGAATCCCTCCTCCGCTGGCGGCCAGCGCGGCATGCGGAGCGACGTGGATATCATATCCTTCATCTAGTTTCCGTTTTAGGTAAGGAATGCCGACCATCACGGCCAGATTTTTCCAGATATCCGACGAGCGGAGTTTGAGTGTTTCACGCACGGAACCCGCTGCACCGAGCTGCGCTCGTGGGATTTCGCCATTCTTGGTCGCGAGGACACGTTCGCGTTTCAGGGAGTAGAAGTTCTCAGTGAAAGAGCCGCCGAAAGTACGGAGGTAGTAGCGCTCTACGAGGAGGGAGAGTAGGGCGTATAGTTCGTCAAAAGAGTTGAGGGCGCGGAGGAGGTAGCGTGGGTGCCGGTGGGTGGCGACGGCAAGAATATAGCGGAGAGATGGGGGGAGGAGAGCTGAGAGTTGTTGTTCTGAGAGGATCTCTGCGGATGTTGGTTAGAGCTTGTGGCTTTCGACATAAAAACGGAGGTTAGCTTACCGAACAGTGACGGCTTGAAATCGTCGAAGTCGTTCTGCAAAGCGGACATATACTCCATGTTGGCGAATTGATGTCCGGAGCAGCCCAGATGGAGGCGGGCCTCGTTCAGACCGTGGCGGAGGAAGCGCTGTGCCGGTTGTCAGGACGTCGACATCGCGAGTTGATAGATATCGCAACTTCCTGAGCTCGTCAACAGCCGAGGTATAATAGTTGACTCCAGGAGATTTGCTGACTCATCGTGTTATGTTGACAAATTTTGGTTTTCATTGATATTCAAACTCTATGCTATCATACATGCGGTTCTCATCTTATTGTATAGGTAAAATATTACAAATTAGATATTTGAGTGATTACAGACATACGGAGCGGTGGAATCCTGCCCGCGCCCACCAGCTGCTGCCGCATTTTCAATCGCGACTCGGCAGCGGTGCCACATTCTGACCAGAGGATTCTGCTCATTTCTTTCCACTCTATCAATTATCTCTGGATATGCGATGGTAATGCATTTTTGCGTGACCCCTGCAAGCTCGCCATCAAGATGTACTGGCGGATTTTCTCTTTCCATAATTGGAATACAGTTTAGGAGCTGCGTCGTGAAACATTGCCAGCCATCCGATTCCGCGTGGAGTTGGAAAAGAAATACATAAAGCGCTTTATCTCGAGCTATCCCAGCCAGCGCCATGTCTTCCCATGTATTCCAGAATTCTGAATATGATCCTTGGTCGAAGAGCACTCGCAAGATTCTCATATACTGCTCCGTAGTGAATGTAATTTTCGCGGCTGTTTTGACACGGGTGAGGCGCGATTGGACGCGTTTTACTGCATCACAAGTATTAAGTGGAACTGGAATACGGTTGCCGATAACTGGGGAATTGGGTAGATCCTTCTGCTCTACTGGGTAGACCTGCGCCCGAAAGGAGACTCCGACAAATAGTTTGACGAGAATGGTTGAGTCAAGGAGATTGAAACCTCGGAGCCCTGCATGGTCTATGATTTGTAATGCCAATTCCATATCTGCGTTTGGGAGAAGTAGCCTGGGAGGATTCGAGGTTAGGTCGGGTTTAAAAGAGAGGAATGCATCCAAAATCTGCAGGAACTGGGCTCGCGTTAGTGCGTAATTTGAGAGATATGCTCTTGGATCGCCTGCAGAGGTCGGATTTACGTAACCGGGATGATGAGTTCATTGCATGCACATAAGTTCTATTCTCTCGTGGAGGAGGCTAGTTCGGAAGGCGCTCGTGAGACTTCCTGGTAAAACTGCTGTAAAAAGGCTGTAGAACATCTGTCATGTGTGCCTTGCCCGAGATCGTAGATCGCTTCATGTGGTGGAATATTTTTGAAATGGTGAGACAGGGATGTTAGGGGAGATGGTATAGATGGCAGGTGTGTAGTTTCACCATTTGGGCTAATCTGAGAGGTGCCCCACGTGTCCGATGTGGCGTCTTGACACCGACGTGATCCAGTAGATATGCCCCTTCGCTGTTCATAGTTGGCCGAAATTTGGGCCGCGTGGCTAATTTGATGGCTTATGTTAGTTGGAGGAACGGTTAACTGTTCATGGATATCACCCGCCTCTTGAGGAGCTGCCGCCTGAGGTTGCGGGAGGCCTTCATTCTCCAGAGAGTTTCGTTCTAGTTTCTGGCGCCAAAGACCCTCCAGATCAATTTCTTCCCTTTTCTCTTCTGTCATCATTTGGACAACGATCCGCGTCCCTTCTACAACGGTACCGAAGCCAACAAAACCGACTTTCCGAAGCTCCTCCTCCGGCTTACGAAATTGACCGCCTTCCACGGTCCCCACATCAACACATATCCAGCCTGTTGTAATGCCGTCGTCGGGTTGCGTGAGAGTCGATTTGGCGCTCTTGGCTAACTTTGCTCGACGAGCTTTTCTTCGGAGTTTGATCTTTAGCTCATTCCTACCCAGGAGACCATCAGCGTCGGGCCGTAGCTTATAGGTAGTACGCAACCATCGACACAATCTATCTGCGGACACATTGAGATGTTTCACACCTCGAGCAGTACCGAAAATCATAATGAGATTTGCACCCAGGGCGGGAGGAGGGTGGAGTCTGCGAAGATCAAGGAGGCTGAGATCGTCGAGGCCAATGTCGACGGATATATGCTCAAGAAGATTTTCCAAAATTGGGGGTGGGTTCTCTGGAAGCGGTGGTAGTGGTTGTTGCTTTCTTAATGGGTGTGGTATTGTTTCTTCAACCTGCTCCTCCTTAAGGTACCAGGGGATATGTTTTTGGGATTCTTCTGGCTGCCCTTCAGTTTCTTCCCCGATATGGATTTCAGGTATGGGATCAACAACCAACTCAGCATTGTCCGAAGGCTGATTCGAAAATAATTTCGCATGTTGCGATGAAAACTTTCGCGATAGGGCTGGAGGACGGGCTTGAGCGGTGGACCTCGAACCACCAGCCAGAGGCGTTATCGCTACATCGGAAAGGGAGATAAACGACCGAATGAGATTACTTCGGCAAGCACGGCATTGGATGCCTCTTAGTAGAACCCGGCTCATTGTAAAGTTGACATTTGCCCACGAATTGGGCTGATAACGGCAAATCGTATTGCTTGTTCGAAGGTTGAAAGTGAAAAAAAAATCATAGCGGGTTTGGGAAAACGGCAAAAATGTAAATCCGAGCGCCGTCATTAATAATCCCGGCTCACGATTGAATTTTGCGATTATATTGCCCCGGTTTACTCTACAACTTCCTTCAAAACCCTAGAACAAACTCACTTTCCGCTCTCTCTGCCATCATGTCGATGGACTTGGATTCCCCTATGCCGATGCAGCAGGTTGCATACAAACCTCAACAACAAACAGCGACGTGAGCACTCCCCGCTTTCTGCCGTCATGTACTAGCTTGGAATTTATCTAACCCGTCTGTCAAGGATCCTTTGTTGCAACTGCGGTGCTCCTATCGATGGGACAACCTCAGCAGGCGCCCTTTGCGAAGATTGTGTGAAACTTACGGTTGACATATCACAAGGAATACAGCGAGAAGCCACGCTACACTGCTGTAAGGACTGCGAACGTTGGCTGCAACCGCCTTCACAGTGGATAAGTGCCGCCCTCGAGTCAAGAGAATTACTTGCTTTGTGCCTTCGAAAATTGCGCGGTTTGAGCAAGGTCCGCATCATTGACGCAGGGTTCATATGGACGGAACCTCATTCAAAACGAATCAAGGTCAAAATTACTGTTCAGCAAGAGGCTTTCCAAGGGACCATTCTACAACAAACCTTTGAAGTTGAATATGTGGTGGCCTCTCAACAATGTCCCGAGTGTGCCAAGTCGTATACCCACAATACTTGGAGGGCGTGTGTACAAGTGCGACAAAAGGTTCCTCACAAACGAACATTCTTATATCTCGAACAGTTGATTCTGAAACATAACGCCCACAAGGATACCATCAACATCAAGGAAGCCAAGGATGGCCTGGACTTCTTTTTCTCACAGCGAAATCATGCAGAGAAGATGGTGGATTTTTTATCTTCGGTTGCTCCAACCCGGGTCAAGAAATCCCAAGAGCTTATTTCCATGGATGTTCATACTTCAACCAAATCCTACAAAATCACCTATTCCGTTTACCTGATACCCATTTGCAAAGATGATCTAGTTGCTCTTCCGATATCGCTCGCCAAATCCTTAAGTAACATACATCCTCTTACCCTATGTTATCGCGTGGGCACCTCGATTAGTTTGCTAGATCCATCTACCCTTCAAACAGCCGACATCCCTTCCCCAATATACTGGAGAACCCCGTTCAAAAACGTGGCAGATGTCCAAGAGCTTGTTGAGTTCATTGTTATGGACATCGAACCTGCTGGCCGATCAGTTGGCCACTTCCATCTCGCTGAAGTTACCGTGGCGCGGGCATCTGACCTGGGAGTGAATGACACCACCTATTTCACGCGAACACACCTTGGCGGGGTCCTCCATGTCGGAGATTCTGTGAAGGGTTATCTCTTATCCGGCTCAAATTTCAACGACACGAACTACGAAGCCTTAGAACAAAGCAGCGTATATAGCTCTACCATTCCCGACGTGGTTCTTGTGAGGAAGCACTATCCCAGGAAGAAGAAGCCCAAGAGAAACTGGCGCCTGAAGCGCATGAACCGTGAAGAAGAGGAGCCTGTTGCATCGTCACGGAAACAAGAGAGAGATCGTGTGGAGGAAGATTTCGAAATGTTCTTGCGGGATGTGGAAGAGGATGCGGAGTTGAGAAGCACATTTGCGCTTTACAAAGCCAAACGGGCGAAAGCTGACACAGGTCGTATGGAGGATATTGATCACGACGCTATGAGTGTTGTGGAAGATGACGAGCATGGCAGTGAAGATGACATTCCCAAGATAAGCATGGATGAGCTTCTTGACGATTTTGAGGAATTGAATGTGAGCGGTTAAGAACGAAGTTTTGCATGACCGACGACTGATATTTTGCATTATGATGTATATATGCCAAAAAAAAAAGGGGATTTAAAAGGAGTTTGAACTGTGACTTTTTACTTATTGAATAAAGGGCTGTGTGGAATTATGAATCATGGCAAAAGTTCATTTCATTAGGACCTAGAGTAGCAAAGAAATGGATTCTTCCCCCCTTCTGTCACCCCCTTCCCAAACACTGGATTCGATATCCAGATACCTTATTTCCTTTTTTCAAACTCTCAGGACTGTTTCCGTGTGCTTTTCCGTATTCGTATGTGTAGGAAGGGGCGTATGTCTTGTGTGATGTCATTTCTACTCACTTCGAGGGTGGTTAATTCATGTCTCAGAAGAGGTTTTTTCTTCCTTCCGTAGGGCTTGCAGAGATACAGCGGTTGGCTGTGGGCTCAAAGACTCCAAGGCGGTATTCCGCAACATGGCGGTAAATGATTTTCCATTTATTTCTTTTTCACTCAAACATTGCTAGAGTACCTCTGGCACATCGGGTGAAGCATAGGCCAACACAATCCCCGTCATGATTCAACATAACAGCACATTATTTACTAACTTATTAGGGTAACCTTATTATATTGCAATTTTTGTAAAAAAAATAAAATAAAATAAAATAAAAAGAAGCAACACCCGGAAGAACGCCAACAAGCAAAGGAGTGTGGTCTCCCTTTGCCCAAATATTAACTGCGCTCAAATCAGCAAGAGGTGATATCCATAAATAAGGAACAAAACAAAAAATCTCCATCTACCTACTAACCGCACCAATCCACCATTCCCGCATATCACTCCCCAGCTTTATACGGCGACGCCCCCTTCCCGAAGAGGAGATATGGTTTTCTCTCCGCAAGTTCCAGGATGGTCTGCGCGAAGACGCTATTGGCCCACGCGAACCAGCTGCGCGTGTACACGCGGATATTGTCAACGTCGACGGATTCGTGGATCAGACCGAGAAGACTAGCGTTTCGGACCATGTTGATGGATTCCATGATCTCCTCGTCATCGTCGGATGTGCGGGCACGGACGAGGACAGACATGGGCCAGGCGTTGCTGAGGCCGGCTGAGAGGCGGAGGATTGGTGTTTAGCTTTAGGATTTTGTGGGGGGCCAGAGGGGGAGTTGATGATTGAAAAGGTCATGTAGATATGAAATTGTAAAACTTACCGTGAGGACCGCCGATACCGTGGAACTGGGTACCGGTCAGATAGTACGGATTCCCCGTTTTGTTCAAAAGCATCTTGCGCGTGTTCTGGTAGACTTCATCGTCCTTGTCGACGAAGCCAAGGAGAGGCAAAGATAGGAGGGAAGGGAGATTGGCATCGTCCATTAACAACCTCGAGCCATATCCGTCCACCTCGAAGGCGTAAATCTCACCGAATTTCTTGTGGCTAACAATTCCATGATCGCGGATGCCTTTCTCGATGATGCTTGCTCTCTGCTCTAGAGTCTGGATGAGGCTGTCGGGTCCACCGGCGGCTTTGATGGTTAAGGCTGTCCGCTTCAGCTCCACGGATAAATAAGCGTTGGCAGGGATAAAGTAACCGAAAATAGTGGCGTCATCGCTGGGGCGGAAGGCGCTGCGAACAAGGCCTGTCCCATTGTTCAAAGGATTCCCGACCCCGTCCAAGTTCAAAGTTTCGGTTCCTAGGGTCGTCAAGCGTTTGAATGTGTACGTGTTGCGGACATATTCGCCTTGAACGTCAAAAGTGGGTTTTGACTGCTCCTCAATAACCTCAAGAACGGTAAGCACAGCCCGATACCATCTGGTTGTGACAAACTCCGTGGATTTTGTTTCCGCGAAGAACTTGTTTCCTATAGCGAGAAAATTGGCCAGGGAATCGAGCTCGTATTTACATTCGAAGACAACGGACTGTTCGTAAGCCGGATGAACGATGTCGCTCTGGGTCTGAGAAATGGAGTGGAGGAGACCACTTGGAGGGGGAGGCTGAAACGCATTGCAGTACGGAGACTGGAGAACGAATTCAACCTGAGTATTGATGGCGCCCAAGATAAGAGCTTTGATCTTGGGATCCTTTGCAGCGAGCATTTGATACCCTGCGACTTGGTTTGCCGAGTCGCGCAGCCACTCCGCATTGATATCGCCAGTGACGATGAAAGACTGCGGTCCCTGCCAGGATTCACTCTGTGGGTATTGTGTCAATATCTTCGATCGAGGGTCACTTGAGTCCACATGCCATCGGACAGTGGTATCTGCAGTGTTTGGATACGCATTCCGAAAGAGTTGGGCAAGGTCCTTGTCAACCATGCGGGAAGTCACGTCCTCGATGACCTTTTCAATGGACGTCGATGTGAACGTTCGACATGGCAGAACAGGTCGTTGGAAGGGAAGCTGTAGAGGACCTTCGGAGTATGGGGGACTGCATAATGATGATCAATCAGTGAGAAGGAAGGAACACATAATGGTCTAAATCGCAAAAACTCAAGCACAGGCTTGTCTTCTCCGCCAAGGGCCGATGAAGTTGAAGTAAAATGTGCTCACTGTTTAAGCTTGGAGTACTCGCTGTAGTCAGGGCAAGCGATTGCTAGCGATGCAGGATCGTCCATATGGCTAGATCCAGCTAGCGCACCGTTGGACACGAGAGCCGCAAGCACTGCAGCTGTCCAGGGAAGAGCTCTCATATCTGTGCAAACCTCAGTCCATGCGCTAGTCAGTTAGCTGGTCAGGGGTAGGACTTGTAGCGATGTTGGGTGGCCGATAACTTCAGTTGGGCTCATAGGCGTGGGTGGGCTAGTTATTCTCACCGCGGGCAAGGACATGTAGGAGAGCAATAGCAATGGCGCCAGCTTGATCTCCCCGGGTGAGAGGAGTCTCCGCAGCGCAGCTTGTACTCGGAAACCCTGATGTTTAGCCGAAACTCAACGCGAATGTTCCAAGCACCCAACTCAACCCTGGATCACGTGCCGATCGGTTCCAGGATCCGCTCGACCAAGCTCTCGGATCTTGTGGTTCACGACGCTGGAAACGCGGTTGCAAAAAAACCCATCTCCTAAAGGAGTTTCTCCTACGGAGTATGCTGGATGTGAGTCCGTGAAGCGCACCGTTTCGGTCACGGCTGGGTGTTGAACCAGCATGGGTTTCGGCCCGAAAATACTCGGCACGGGTTCAAATCCGGTGACCCGAGCTCCGTGTCAAATCATAGATGCTTGTCGTTTCCTTTATTTTTTTCGGAGGTTGCAAGATGCTGCGCATATATGTACTCATTATGTTAAATACATACACACACTGAAAGTAATGATGTTACAAGGATGGACGAAAAGGTCATGAAGTATTGTTATATAAACCAAGGAGGAAGCATAAAACTAGAAAACCTGCCGAGTGGTTAACCATCAGATAAGTGCTCACTATTAAAACGCCAGTAAAATGACAAGACGGACACGAACACCCATCACATAAGGCTTGAATTTTCCTGGCTTCGGGCCCTCTACCGCTTGAGATTAAGGGAAAAAAAAAATTTTTTTATCCATCATGAAGTAAACCATACGATCATCTTTTCCCAAAGAACGACATAATGTTGCCCTGGCCCATCTTCTGGCTTCCCTTGTTACTAGAAGTAGACTTTGAGTTCACTGAAACAGCCAGTTTTCTTTTCACAGGTGGTGGCGCTTCGTCCTCGGAAAACGATTCCCAGACAGGTTCTTCTTTCGTGACTGTGCAATTAGAAAAGAGGGGACTTTGTGAGTTGCTGGCTCAATGTCTTTGGAAAATAAAAAATAGAGGAGACAAAAATAAGTACGGACCGAGATATCCTTCTGCATCTTTTATCGTTGTCTTTTTCATCACTTGTCGTCTCCCTCTCCTTCGGCCCTTTGGAGCCCTTGCTTCCTCTTTAGATTCAGCCTTCGGTACTTCTTCGGATTGCGAGGTGTCTGTACGTTCTGGTGCTCTCGCGGGCGGCAGTTCTGGCACATCTTCTGGCACATCTTCCATATCTTCATCTTTGTTTGTTTTATTCGTCGTTAGCCCATGACTAGGTGAGTGTAACATATTGTATATTCATTGGAAAATATACCTTCCATCATTTTCCGAAGCTTCTCTTCTCTCTCCTTCCTTGACTCGCGTTTCGAGTTGCTTCTTCTTGTCCCCGTATCAAGGAATAGGTCTTCTCGCTCTTCTTCCGATGCATCATCGAGAACAACTACCAGGTATTGTGAGTAAAAGAAGTGAGAAGTGAAAAGTGAAAAATAAGCAAGTTTGGCATACCATCTTCAGGCCCACTGTGTTCTGCCTAAGCATGCGAATTAGTATTTACTTCCACAATTAAGACAATGGCAGCTGGACATACGGATTCCACTTCACGACCACTCGGTCTTTCAAGGACATCATCCTTCTTGACTTTGGGCTTCACCTTGGCAAAAGCCTTGAATATATTCGAGCTGTCTCGTTTTAGTGAGCTTGGTTTATCGCTAGTTCCTCCCTTATTATTGCCACCGCTGGAAGGACGTGAGGACGCGGCAGATGACGCTTGAGGAGTCTGGGTTTTAGCTTGTGGCTGAGTAGGTTCCTCTGGTTTGGTGGTGATGGGTGCTTCATTTGCCTTTTCCACTTTTTGTTTTTTGACGGTTTCAACGGGATCAGGAGCTGGAGGAGCTGGAGGGAGTCCCGATCGCCGCTTTGGATTGTCGATGGTCTATTAGTCTGCCAGAAAACTAAGCGAAAATGATGGGTGCTAGGGCCCCTACCTTGACGTTTCTATTGAGGATCATGCCGTATTGTTTACCGTACTCGAGAGGATCGTTTGGCTGATGCTGCATTATATCATGTCCAATATCGCCTAGGACATTCAAATCTTGGAGGCGAGTAGGCTCGACGCTATATATAAAAATTGAAAATACTGTTTGATACCGGCTCTTTGCTTCTGTGCCAATATATTAGGCTACTGTCAGAGAGAATAAGAGGCGAATTCACCGTATATTTTGAGCATACCAAGTAAGTCTTCCTCGCGCACTAACGTGATTGAAGTTGTTGGGATATCGTCGTTCCCGTCGCCGTCTTCTTGCCGTGCGGCCTGACTGCTCGTGAAGGGGCTACTTTGCATAATCTCATCATCGCCATCCTTCGCGCACCCGTTGAGCGCATGTCGTTGCGCAAGCGCCGGGGTGCCGGAGATGAGATAAGTAGCATTGACACTTTGCGGTTTTTTAGAGTTCTCAAGGCGATGGAACTCATAGAGCATCCTTCCGAATGGCCAATCAGTACCACACGTACTTCCCGCTGATCAGACTGACTTTTGAAACTACGTACCGTTTGGCTAAGTTGGAATGGACTTTTAAAGCTCTACTCAGTGCACGATGGGTGACCTGGCAGAGGAGATTAGCGTGCGTAAATGTGAATTGTTGTAAATACTCACAATCTCCTGTTCATTAAGAACCTTCTCGGCAAGGTATTTCTTATAATTGGCAGCCATCGTGAGTCCTATCCCCAATGACCAAATATCCCGAATATCCCAAATATTCCCGAATCCCCAAATACGAACCCATGGATGCTCCAGGGTGTTAGTGGGTACTACGGCTACCCTATCACGTGCCCCCCAACATATTGTAATGCTCTCGCGTAGTTAGTTTAGTAATAATGAACGAACGTTATCCTCCTTCACAGGGTCTGTGGACGTGATCAATTAACGCGTCTTAGTCATCGTGATCTTGGCGTTCTTGCGGCTTGAACCGAGATGCTCAACTCTTTTTTTACGGGTTGAAATCTGCCCCTTTTGTTCCACTGTCTCAACCACACCAGTTTGAGATAACATACCTCCGAGTAAATGTACGACATCCCCGACTCAACAGATTGGCTCGGTACGCCCCTCTCCAAGCTCGCCCGCGTAGAATCCGCCCTACGATGCCAAGTATGCAAGGACTTCTTCAGAAGCCCAGTCATCACCTCCTGTTCACACACGTTCTGCTCCATATGCATACGCCGATGTCTAAGTTCGGATGGAAAATGCCCCGCCTGCAGGACTGCGGATCAGGAACTTAAGCTGCGAAAGGATATGGCGATGCAGGAGATGGTGGACTCGTTTATGTCGGCACGACCTAGCGTGTTGGAGTTCGCGAGAACCGCCACGGTGAGAACAGATGAACCAGAGGGGGACCTCGAGCTGCCCGCGTCGAAGAAGCGGAAAATCGATACCTTTGTATCCTTGGCTGAGAAGGGTAAGGCGGTTTCGGGCGCTGAGAGAAGAACACGCTTGCAAAGTAGAAGATCAGAAGATCAAGATCTGCAAACGCAGGCGGAAGTCATCGACGATACAGAGGATGAGGGCTTTGACCCAGGTATTCATCTTATTTTCGTTATCTGGGGACCACTTCCTTAGGCTAAAAAATATTTAGATGATGGCCTAGTCGCATGCCCGATGTGCCAGCGAAGGATGAAAAATGAAGCTGTCTTCTCCCATTTGGATAATTGCCCAGGTCCTTCAGAGCTACCAAATCTCTCCACATCATATGGGTATGTTGGGCAATTTCAAACTATACTTAGAAATATTCGATATCCTTGCTAATATGATCTAAGACCTTTACGAAACCATGCTCGCCCTTCTGAACAATCACAACAATCCCCTCACACCAATGCTCCAAAACGTCTCCCGACGTTAAACTACTCACTCCTGAAAGAGACGGTTCTGCGTCGAAAGCTCAAGGAGTTGGGAATACCTGACTGGGGTTCCAAACCTCTATTGCAAAAGAGACACACAGAGTGGATGAATATATGGAATGCGAACTGTGATTCCAAAGTGCCCAAATCGAAACGCGAATTGTTACAGGAACTCGATATCTGGGAACGGACACAGGGTGGCCATGCACCAGCTGCGTCTGGTATTTCGACGTCTTCTCCAGTAACGCGCAAAGATTTCGATGCTTCCGTTTGGACGACAATGTATGGTGACGACTTTAAGGTACTCATTGCCAATGCTCGCAGGAACAAAGAGCAGGCTCTCCGGGCTGGTAACTCGGGAACGATTTTGGCAGCAGACCAATGTGCGAGAAAAGAAGATGGTGAACATGAGCATACCATAACCCAACCAGATTTGCCGGACACTCGACACCAGACTCGGAGAGTCGAGAGTGAACCGGAAAATAATACAACAATAGGCGGGGCTGTAAATGAGATGAATGGGGAGGGTAGTAGTGCAGGCATGGAAACCTGAGAGACTAAGAATTGTAGAGGACGCTGCAGCCTGATGCATATTTCTCCTTTCCATATACAATGGCATTCTAGCGTTGGCGTTTTGTGGGTAGCGAATACGCATCTTTTATATATGGCACGGTCCAAAAGTATACCATTGATTGAGGAGTACCTATTCTGCCGTAACCTGTTCGGATATCTTTGTCTTTGTATTCTCACCTTTTGAGTTGTCTTCAATAGACATATGGGAAAATTTTCCAATACTATCCTCAAGATCCGAGTCGTCATCCGCTGCCGTCACCTGCTCTTTCTCATTTTTACGCTGCGCCTCAACTTCAATCGCTGATTTCTCGAATCGTTCAATCTCCGCCAGTTTTCGTCGCGTTGCTTCTGCTTCTTTAGCATCATGCGCTTCTTGTTCTTGCTTCTCCATTGCAGCAAGAATATCGTCCAGTTCGCCTTCGTCAACTGCTTCTCCAACCCCATTGATGACATTCCCAACTTCGTCGACTTTACCCATCTCCTCTCGCAGCTCTTCCACGATGTCTTCGACTTTCTCCACCCCACCGACTTGGCCATTTATTGATCGAAGAGCAACCGCGCTGGCTTCCATTACTCGCACGATATCTATGTGGTCTGCGGCCTGCTCGAGTTTCATATAAACTTCTTCGAGTTGCAGTAAAGTATCCGTCCGCTGTTTTAAATTGTTTTCTGCCATCTTTTTTGCCCGTAGTGCAGATAGAGCGACAACTCTGTTTTTGTTAGTCACCGCACCCTTCGCTCTTAGTGATAATTCCTGAATTTTGGATTCAATGTGTGCGACCTGTCTGGTTAAATTCGAGATTAGCGTCTTCAAGGACGCGATGGTCCGATCTTCGTGCGTTATTGTGTTAATGTTGTTTTTGGTGCCTTTAAATTTAATTGTCTAAATATACTTTAGTTACGGATCTGAATGAAAAATACCATAGAGGTACACTACATACCTCCCCGTCATATAGAATTGCGTTTTCATCTCTCGATAGGAATATCAGGAGGACATCAACATCCAAGCTTGATAACACGGTCCCGCCACCAAATTTTGCAAACCGCTCTGTGAAAAGCTCTTTCGAGTAAATGCAGTCGGTATTTGACTTGTGGGACTTTGAGGCTATTGCAAGGACACGTTTCCCAACTTCCTAGATATATATATATATATATCACGAATTTGAATTAGAGGAGGGTTACTCAAAGAAAGACAGAAGATGAGCTTGACCAGGTATATATGTTTAAACAGAACGGCAAGGGACGCGGTTCTATTCATAAGTACCTTTAAATTATCTACCAAAACCAAGTTCATAACTTGTACCTTCCCTGATACGTTCGAATGACCTTCGAAATCGGATAGAATACCCCTTAACTGTTTCATACCCCAACCCATAACTTGGGATAATGTGGGAGGGGAAGGGAGGCGTATCCACGATGTTTTGAACGGCGTTGCAGAACTGGTCTGAAAGATATCAAGAGGTATCATGGAATTATGTCGGATTGCTTCATCCTGTGAATTAAGGCAGAGAATCAATCAGTTAGTCAGGCAAACCGCAAGGTAGGGCATAGAAGCAGCAAGTCTAGCACCCACAATGAATGGATATAAGTATCGCGATAACATACAATAGCACTCTGTAATGCCACCGGGCGACCCCATTCCTGCGTCTCCAGCTCTGCCATAAGAGCGTTGCCTGTCCTCAACACGAGCAAATCACTCTTGGCTACCCCGTCATCCCCATGGTGTCTGCTTCCCGACGACGAATGTATGACGCCGGCAAGAGCTGCATGAGCTAGTGCTCGCTGCCATGCAGCGGCGTTTGTCGCATATCCGTCTGGATTGGTATGCCGCTGGGTGGAGAAGTCTGAGTAGAGAGAAGGAAGTCGAGCTCTGTATGTCAATTTGTCAGTTTATAGAACACCTGGCCCAACGGCAGTGCTACGGCAAATCAAAATCTGACCTTCGGAAAGACTCCTCATTTGCAAGGATGTACGCCAGAAGCTCATTCATAATGGTTTGTATTGGGACTGTTGGCGGTGCTGGAAACAGCTAGTGGCCCTTTCACTACCTGCCTTCTCCGTACACCTTGTTATTTTAAAGCACAATCCTGATTCCCGTACATTTCAGGACATTCGTTAAATGGCGTCCCAACTTCCTCCGGAAAGTTGTAGTGTTGCATGCCCAGTAGCACTGCAATCGGGTTCAAAACGCTGAAGAGGTTAGGGTTATTGCCAAGAAGGTTTGAGGTTCCTATCTGCTTATTAAGCGGTTTGATTCCGGTTACAGTTGAACGTGGTTTATTAAAAAAAGTGGGTCTGAAAAATAAACACTTCTCACTAAAAATTCACACTCAGATTACAGATTACAGTTGAACGTGGTTTATTCAAACATGAACATGGTTTTAAAAAAGTGGGTCTGAAAAATAAACCATGCTCAATTTTTCACGCTAGTACTAAGCAATGACATGATTTAAAGCAGAACTTTTTTAAAAATTATGTTCAGTTCTACTTCTGTTTTTGAAAACTATGTTCAGTTTTTGCAGTGTATTTACATAAGCTAGACATGTGATGATTAGAGAGATATAGCATCATAATCATAGCCATGATCACAAGCAAACATTGTAGACAAGGGTGCAAGTAATTGTGACATATGATCAGTATAAGATCAATGTGATCTCAATAGTAACAATAGATTTATCATTGTCATGTAGGTATTATATTTGTTGTTCAGTCAGAGGATTTTTATTATTATGTAAATAAGAATATATATTATTTTCTACAACATATCTTCTCTTTATATTTAAGTTCTCTCACATATAAAAAAAAAATTATCTTTCAAACCATACTTTCTAAAAATTCATATATTTCTGCGATATTCCAATCATTATTCCAGCATATATCAAGCATAAGCTGTAAGAATGCTGATTATTTACAGTTTATACAATAACTCTGCAGTTTTCACCACAGCCAATCTCTCTCAATTTGAATATTATCATAGTTTGTCATGAATTATAGCTTCTTAGAACAGGTTTTTTGCATATATTAGTGATATATAGATTCAATTACCAATTTAAATCTTGAATGAACTGTTGTTACTTATAACAAGATTACGAGCAAAACCTTGAACGAGCCCAATTCTTCGAATTAGACAACGCGAGTACCCTCAATCGATTCCTGCTACCTCCATCAGTAACTGCTGCAAATTTGAAAAGATTTGATAAAGTTTTGACAGAGATATTTGATAAATACTGTTTTGGCATCCGCTTGGGCGGATTTTCAACATTTCATCAAATTACTCCATCAATACTGAGTCAAATCAACTCAGATTTTGATTAGAGATAGATCTATTTTATATTGATAATCTATTAAAATCTTGTTCAGTTTGATCTGCAGTTGCTTGAGTTATTCTTGTTTCTCTGTTTGAGAAAACTCTGATCAATTTTCGTGTTCCAACGCATCCGTGCCAAGTCCCCTCTGAGTACCTCCCAGCCACATGTGCCTGCCAAGTAACAAAAAAATACCTCGGCACAATTGACTAGTGCATACCCCATCAATTCAAATCCATCATCCCTTGAATCCCTCATCGAATCCCTTCAAATAACCCCCCTGTTGATAAAAACATAAGATAAAAGTGGAAATTTCAGTGTTTGAAAGATAGCTTGATCTCTGCAAGTAGTTTATATATATATTTATATATATATAATCTATTATAAAGGAAAAAAGTGCAGGTTTATTCTGTTGATTTTTCATTTGCATACTCATTTTTTTAAAAACTCAATATTCAACTTATTGAAAGCTATTCAGTAGAATAAAGTGTTTCAATTTGAATGAAAGAGAATTCATTTAATATTGAAAGCTTTTAATATTTCAGAAATATAATCTTAAACTGAGAAGAGATTTAATTTAAACAGAGACTTTGGCAAACTTTTTATAAAAAAAAAAAAAATAAAGTTTGAAAAAATAGAGTATTTTTTCTGTTTTAACTCTGAGTTAATAAAACAGAAAATTTTTGCTTAAAAATTCATATTTCTTTTATCTTAATCAAAAACTAAAGAGCTTTTATTAATACTGATCAATTTATTATTATATATTTTTATAACAGACGTACATCGATTAATGATCTAGCACTATTCTAAATACAGATTATGAATTGATTAAGAAAAGAAAAAGAAAAAAGATCAGAAGAAAAGATTGTATGAAGAGGGTTTTTATAAAAAGAAAATCAAAGTAAAAGAATATCAGAAGCTGTTTCACAGTAAAATACAGAGCAAAAAAGCATTGAAAGTTATGTAAAAGAATTGTTAGAATTACATGAATGTGAAGTGTGAGAAACTACACAAATGCAGAGTGTGAGGAACTATGTGAGTGTGGAGCATGAGAAACTATGCAAGTGCGGAGTGTAAGGAACTACATGAGCACAGAGTGTGAGCAACTATGCAGGTGCGGAGTGTGAGGAACTACACAGGCGTAGAGTGTGAGGAACTATGCGGGTGCAGAGTATGAGGCAGAAGAGGTTGATTGCATAAGTTAATCATTAATAAATGCTAACTCATCATATTATCCCCTTTTACCAGGGTGAGCAATGACTCATAGGCGTTGAGAGCGGCAGTGTCCTCCACGGCAGACACAGATTCCCAGGTTGAGTGATTGTATTCTACTCATTTGACAAGGTATTCACAGTGGTGATAGTTAGTTCTATCATCAAGAATTGCTTCAATATCTCATTCAAATTTGTTATTTTCTTCTATGATGATAGGTGGCTGTCAGTTGAAGATTCTTTGTGAGGGGAATGGATCCTCAGCTGCGGGTCGGAGCAGGTTTGTATGAAAGACATTATGAATGTCAGATGAGATGTCAAGTCAATAATTATGTGTGCTCAGCATCTTCATCACAGTATATTTGATGTGGTGGTAATCTAATATATGTGAAAGGTGGTTCATTCTTATGTTCTTGAAATCTAAACAGATTTTATTTTTTACATGATATCAGATTGTAGAACTTCTTTTAATATTCATTTGATTTTTATAATTTTACTAAATACTGATCATAAAAGCTTTTGTCTATTCACAGACTTTTTTAAACTTGCTCACAATGTTTTCTACTGCTTGTATGAAACTGCAGATGTATGTGGTTTTTCAGAAATTTTCAGAGAAGTTCAAAACTTCTAAATTGTATTTATGCAGAAAAAAGAATGAGTTTATATTTGTTATAATAGAATTTCAACTATTAATCACAATCTCAGCATGTGATAGCAGATGGCTTCAATTGTTTTATGTGTAATTGCAGAATTTACAGAAAATGTTTTTCATTGTTTATATCATTTTCTCTGTGACTTCATCAGTCTCTGAGTGATACACTGTTGACAATTATTGTTTGATTCTTAGCAGCTGATATACACAGATTCAGAGTGTGCTGATGAATTGACTGTTTTTATCTGATACAATGAATGAAAGCAGACTATGTATACAATAGAATGAGCTCTGAACAAAAGCATCTGCAACTACTTCAGCATCTATCTTGTCACAGAGCTACAGTATTACAGTCTCGCTAAGTTGATTGACAATGATTAGAATGTTCATAAAAGTTCTGAATCAGAGACTCATCATTTATCTTAGAAGTATAGACATTCATCATCATCAATCAAATATGTTGAAATATCCGTTCTTGAGTATACGCTTGTGGGGAATCGAAGTGCCTTGTTTTATACAGCTTCAGCAACTTGTTGCCAAGGTTCATTCACTTCTACTGCTTGTTTTTATTGCTTTTTAAATAAAGGGTTTTATACTCAAAATTGATTAACATGTATATAGGGTTCATCTGATTGCATGAGATCTTTTATGATTGTGAGATTAATTAACTGATGCTCTCAGTGTTTCCATTTGTCATCCAGATCACCAAATAGTATATCTTGTTCTCAGCAGAATAGAACATTCATAAAAGTGTTTTCTATTTCTGATTGATAACAGATTGTGAATGAAAAATAGCTGAGAAACAATGATCAATGCATATACCTCTCAGTAAGCTTATGAATGGTTGTGAAGTATTCTATATTCTTATGATCAGTGATGATTTCAAACTTCTCAACACTCATGAATTCAGACTCCCATTCTGTAATAGGCGCAACGGAGATATCTATATTAGGAAATAGATACGTGGCGATAGATACGTGGCGATGGCAATATTATCTATATAATGCTCGCTGATATCCGTGGATTTTAGGAGATCAGCGATTAGCTTTGAACAATAGAGATTGCTACCTTCTTAATATCCTTTGTGCGTACTTCACACTACTCTTGTAATTACTCTTGTAGCCCATCTCTTACACATTCTTTAAAGCATTGTATGATCGCTAGAAGCTCCTTGTTGTAGATCTTATAGTTCCATTCAGTGAGTGACATTTTTTTCAAAATGAAGGCACAGAATCACAAAACATCTTCATTATTATATTGCATTAATGATCTGCTTACTATATAATTTGAGGTATCTGTTTTGAAAATTGTATGCTTGTTTGAGTTGAATGATTACAGCATTGAAGTACTTGTGAACATGTGCTTCAGCTTCTTGAACACTGCATCCACTTCATCAATTCATTAAAATACAATGTCCTTTCAGATCAGATCTGTCAGTGATTATATGATATTTGAGAAATTCTTGATGAATTTTCAGTAAAAGTTAACAAACTTTAGAAAGCTTTTAATTCCTTTTTGTAATGCACTCGTTTATTATTTCCTTATTATTATATTATCTTTGTTTATATCTTCGTCTATTCTTACCTCTTTCCATTATACTCTCGCTACCACTATTTCTATATGTATATATATATGGATACATGTATTTCGCACATCTTCTTTCTCTTTCTTTTCCTCTTCAGCGATTAGCTACAACTACAACTACAACTACAACTACAACTACAATTACAACTTCAACTATACTACTACTATAATTATTATTATCTTCCACTACACTATATACTATCTTCTACTATTCACTCTTCACACTGTCATCACCCCTCACAAAAAGCAAGAAATTTAAACATATCTTTATGTTCATAAGTAGTTGTAAGAATGATGCACAGAGTGGAGATTATGCAGAAGAATTGTTAGAAGCTATACAAATGCAGAGCAGAGTTGTAAGATATTGATTATGCAAGTTAACTACTAATTATCAGATGTTAACTGGTCATATCAATATTTAATTATTGAATTTAAATTTTCTTCAATATATCATCATATTACCTTCTATAGCTTAATCCTTATAGAGTCTTAAGGACCTCTTGTGATATAAGCAGCTAGTCCCAGCCCCGCTGCTTACAAAAATCACTGTGTCTGATGCATTTGAAGATGCGTGAGATATGTATGTGAATGGCTAGTGTGTTGTAGTTTTAATGGACAGGGTTGACATGGTCAAAACCATGCCGAAGGTTATTCCGGCCCGAAAAATCAACCATAAATGTTCAACTTTTTATTAACCACGTTCAACTGTACGCCCGTTTCTATCCTAGACTACATTATGTATTGATATCTCTATATCTACTTGTATACTTTATCAAAACACTATATAATTAAAATAAAGTACTCGCAACGGTAGGCCCTAGTAGATATGCGCTTCTAGTACCTTTTCCACCGCAAGAAGCTCAAAGAGCACTCCAGAGACACAATGTTCTCACTTCTCGCACGCATCTATCAACCTCGAAAACCCCCTTTTATAACTCAGAACCACTTAAAAAGGGTTTACACAGCCGAAACACCCAAATGCACAAATCCTTTGGCGATGCTGTCGATTTTGGCATCTCTTTGGCAAGGTAATTTACAATGACGTCAGGATGCACCCAGGCTTTGGGATCCACCCGCAGCGCTGGGACACTCAGTTTGTATGAGGCACCATGTCCCTAATAAGATGACATCGGTTTTTATTTCTTTGCAAAAACTTCACTCATCGTGAGTTTTGTTGTTTATTTCCTTTGAGATTAGCATTTGATTTATCTAATGGCCAATTAGATCTCCATATTAAATCCGCGCCTGAACTTGCTTAGAAAAATCTAGATACATTCGCTGAAGGAATTTATATTCAAGAACGAGAATATCATATTCTGATACCTGGCTTATTTCAATCGCCCTTGGCAAGATCTAGTAGATGCAATGAATATTAGCCTCGGAACGCATTGGAACACCTGGTCGACAAAAAAGATTACCGCTCTATAGGCAACCTAAAATTTTGGCATTACTCCTGCATCCCGATAGTCCATCCATCTATTTGCTTAGACCAGGTCATCGCAAAATCATTCGAAATCATCAATTGAATGACGTTTGTCGTCTGATTTTAACCGGGTAACGGTAACAGGCGTAGCCTCCAGCGGATTTACACCTCCCATCAACGATTTCCGGCGGATGTGATTATCGAGCTTCTCACTCGTCTCCTCCGTGACAAATTCTATCGCGCTCGATATCTTGCTTTCGCTGCCAATCCCTTGCGATCCAAGATATTCGATCTGCACGGTATTCCGTAGATTGTCAATAAATTGTTGCATTTCTGGTAGAAGCGCCTTTCCTTCATCCAATACGTCGCTGTACAGACGGTCGGATTCTTCGAGGCAAATACATGCGAGGTTTGGTTTTCCTTGCTTCAGCCATGACTCGGTAGCAAGAACGGCCCACATTGCGGCTTTCCTTCGGCGTATTCCCCATTTTGCGGCACCAGATCCAGTTTTAGACGCATAGCATGCAGACACTCTCTCGGAGACAAGAATTCGACCGGTGTCACCCACAAGACCCATATCTAGGATCCGTATAGCCCATTTTGCGGCAGCATCAGAGGCAGATCCTCCACGAGATTTCAAGAGCTCCACGCCTAGGACGAGGGTACGCAAAGCATTTTGTGCGTCGGAGCACCTTGTAAGATACGAGTAGCTAGCAGTATCCAAAAGCTGGTCGATAGCTTCCAGTTTTGTTTTAGCAGTTGATGCCATAGGATTTAGCAGTGTGCTCACAGCGCACATTTCATGCGCTCCCGCCTGGTATCTCCATGCTTTATCATGTCCATAGTCTCCTTTCACAAGATCATAGGTTGATGATGCAAGTTTCCAGTCACGGAGCATGAATGCAAAGTCTCCCAACTTCCGTAATATTGCTTCAGGCGTATCTGGTTTGTAGAACCCTTGAAGGGAATCGTAATTAGAACCTGATCCCGAACCATAAGAACCACCTGACGATCTTGTGTTTGCTCCGAAACCGGCCCAACGCCTTGACATGGACATAAATCGACCACTCAAGCCTCGCCTTCGGGAGGCCACTTGTTCGTTCCAGAGAGCTACTCGATTTTCCATATGAGGGATCACCGATTGAGCAACCATTTCTCGAATGAATGCTTTGATAGCGGTGACGTCTGATTCAAAAAGATATGTGCCTCCTTCGGTTTCAAGATCAATCAGAGATTCTAGAACGATTTTAGCAATTATATCCCAGTCTTGGAGAGGGGAAATATACATACCTTGCTCACCCAGCTCGGAAATGTCCTCCGAAGGAGTAAGCCATTCACAGGAGGGAATTTGTGTGCTATCATCATCTGTTATGACACATTGGTTGCTACGCAGCCGTAGAAGATGGCAGTGAAGGCCAAAATGCCTTTTCATTTGATCAAACAAAGCTGTTGATTGTGTGATGTCGTCCTTGTCTTCGTCATGGACGAGGACGTAGTACCTCAGATATTCGGGATATACCCACTGGGGTGGCCGCTTATCGCCCTGGCTCGTATGTGCATATAGTTGACGTAGCGATTCAAGAGGCGTAGGGGTATGCGAACTTATGGCAATAACACAAGCAACGGGATGCATAAACGTTTCGTGAGGCGAGGTGTACGTCGGGGAGAGAAGGCGTCTAAGGAATAGTTTATAGATTGGAGAAGCTAGGGGTAAACGGCCATGTCCACTGTCGCTACTCCGAGCCCAACTCGCTAATGGGTCGTCAATTGAATGAACATGCCTGTCAAGCACTTGTTCTATCTGGACGAGCGACGGAACAGCCTCCGTGTGGCTGGTCTCTGCTGTCTTTTTTCTCGCATCCAAATCGACAAAACGAACCCCGAAATCCTCCCAAGAACGGCTGGAGCCGCCGCTATCACGTATAACTATCTTTCCTGCAACTGTTTCTCCAAATGGTCGTATTAGTTCGTGGAATCCATTTTTGAAACCCTTTCGTTGAACGAGAGCATCCGTGTCTGGTGAGGCATATACGCCTACTACGGGAGAGAACGCTCGGATTATCAGCGAACGAATGTCATCTGTAGTATCGATTTGGAACCCCAGAGGCGAAAGAGCGTTTGAGCGGGATAGATGCGAGGCGGAGTGCGGTAGCCTCCCATTGGGAGATGCGGTTCTGGATGATCGTCCGGAGGAATGGGACGAGCGCCGTTCCAGAGAATCGGCCAGGGCCGACTCAGATAGCGAAGAGATCACCGGCTGGGTGGTCTTAATCTTCTCTGGATATCTAGCTTTAGACACGTTGAGTGCAGCTCCAGGAGAGAAGGATGGCGGAGGTTTGACTGGAGTAACATCGTCCGGTGATGTCATGGACACTTCGGGGACTTTATCTAGTAATAAAATAGCGATTTTGGCCGGCAGATGTGAGCATGTGTAGTAGTAGTGGGAATAAATAGGGCTTGTAGGATTCTATATATAAATACTGTGGGTGCTGTTGAACGAAGGGTTGTCGCTGTTGTCGTTTGGTTAAAAATACAATGAACAGTGCTGGAGATGCGGAAAAGCGCAAGACCGAAAAAGCCTTTGATCACCATATAAATATCACGACTAAACCCTGCAGAACTTTCGCATCCAGCTACAACAAAACTTTGGAAAATTTGGGGAAAAGCCTCTCCACAAAACTCACTATTCTATCTCCCAGAAATACTTACTAGTAACTATAATACTAGTCATCATGACCGGGCCCTATGTGCTCGTTGACCAGCGCATTGCCAGATGACTTCTCGTTTTGCTCAGGCATTCCTTCAGCGAGCCCATTCCGCTTCCCACCATGCAGGATTGACTCATTCCGCAACCAATTCCCGTGCGGTTGGCCATAATCGACCATTTATAACCCGGAGGGGAACCACCTCTATAGGCCTTTTCAAAAAATTACTTTGTGTCACACAATCACTCTGGCGTCCTATGCCATTTCGAGAGAAAAGTCCATTCCCCCCACAAGAACCACCTACCAAGCGAAGACGGATTTTAGGGATTTTTACAAATCAGGCGACCCAGAAAGTCATGTCTGAAGAGAGGAATATGGTCCCACCGGCCGTCCCCCGAATAACACTTACGCCCGTCGAGCAAACTTTGCGATTATGTCTACTAGATGCGGCGGAGTTCATCCAGCAACGGGGCAACCAAGATCCCGCTTCAGTGCCAACAGCGGCCGACCCACTAGTTCTACGGTTTGCTGGAGGATGGGTGCGGGACAAACTTCTCGGGGTTGATAGTCATGACATCGATGTAGCAATAAACTGCATGACGGGGGAAAGATTCGGGGAGGGGTTGAAAGAGTACCTGGATATGCCCGGAAACCTCGAAAAATACAAGGCGTGCCATTCTGGGAACCCATCTATCATCGATTTCATCAAAATTCATAAGATTGAGAAGAATCCTGAAAAATCAAAACACCTTGAAACTGCCACTACAAAAATATTTGGCCTGGATATTGATTTGGTAAATTTGCGCAAGGAAACGTATTCTGACGATAGCCGCAATCCCCAGGTCGAAATAGGTACCCCAGAAGAGGATGCGCTTCGTCGGGATGCTACTGTGAATGCATTATTTTACAATATTCATACGGACACGATTGAAGATTTTACAGGCAGGGGATTACAGGATATGGAAAATAAAATCATACGTACACCGTTGGCTCCCTGCCAAACTTTTAAAGATGATCCACTCCGAGTTCTACGGTTGATACGCTTCGCAAGCAGATTGGGTTACACTATCGACAGCGACACAGAAGAGGCTATGAAAATTGAGGATATTAAAGTTGCTCTAAAAGCAAAAATTACCCAAGAAAGGATTGGTGTAGAGATAGAGAAAACCTTACGAGGTATGATTCTCAAACGGTTATCCTATGTTATTTTACATGCAGTTAATTCACCACCTATATAGGACCCAATCCTTTAACCGCTCTGCAAAGAATCAACCGACTAGGCCTATACGACACTATTTTTGCCAACCATCAAGATAATGCCGGAGTTGATATATCACACTGGGAAAGGGGTTACAATGCCCTCGCGCTTCTGTTAAGCAAGTCGACTGGAAATATAACCGAGTCGCAGAAGACGCGAAACCATGTCCGAGATATCCTTATCCGCAATGAAAACGAAAGATATTTTGCTTGGTTTCTTGCTGCGCTTGCCCCGTGGACCATTGTTGCAGATCCAAAGCCGTCCAAATCCTCAAATCCTCTAGTGCCACGCGCTACAACCGTGGCTAGAGATAGCCTCCGTGCAGATAACAGGGCTGCTGGTATTATCTCTGCAGCCTCCAAGAACTATCGGATGATCTGGGATGTCAAATCGTCTTTTCTCAAGAACGAAATCGCCGATACTCCTGCTGAGATGCGTGTGAAAATGGGACAGTTCATCCGCAGTCTGTCTCATGACTGGCGATTATGTTTCGTACTTGCTATACTCCTTGAAGTTATGCAGAGGCAAGAAGCAGATCAAGGTGAGTCTTTCGCAAGGTTATCACCACATATTACATATGACCAAAGCTAATGGTGCGTTTCCTGTGATTAGTATTTTACAGCTATGGGAAATTGCTTTCGTACATTGAAGAGAGCAATCTTCTCGACGTGTGCTCCCTGCGCACACCTATCAATGGACGAGACATCATCAACGCTCTCAGCGTGAAGACGGGACCTTGGATGACTAGGGCCCTGGATATGGTTATCGAATGGCAGCTTCGCAACCCAGAAGAAACAAGCAAGGAGGCTGCAATAAATGAAATTCTTAGAAGGAAAGATGAATTAGGATTAAGTAGCAAATAATGGACACTCAGAAGTAGATAATATGAACACAATTAACGAATATACGGAGTATTTGGTTCTCATATTTACTGTTGGCCTATGGTTGTTTGCCGCATCCTGGTTCTGGATCCGACGTTGATGACAAAGCTTCCACAACATCATAATGAGTTAGAACTAAACGTCTCAACTATTGTACTGTGTAGATTGCATGTGCTGTACCACATCCCGTGCTTTTCACACTTTTTTTTTTTTTTTTTTTTTTGACTCTAATAACCTATACCCTAATTGCTGGCATAGTCCTATCTTGACGTCCCCTTCGACGATTACTCACATTTATGTACCAGTATCGCGCTGTAGCTTCCAAGAGCCTACAGGAGGTTGATGACGGAGCTACGTATCAAATTGATACGTCTCAGATCAAGTCTGATATTCGCCTACGAGACTTATGGGCTGAAATTAGTGCAAGCTCACCTTCTGGTACCACCTTAAAGGTATGCTCGAAGTTATCAATGCACTTAGAGCACACGTCCTATATGCCGTAATTGCTCATAATATTCTGCTAGCAATGCGAAGATCTTCTCCTTGTGGAAGCTGTGTTGAGGGCTACCAAACAGTCTGGCACTCTGCAAAGGGAAGACCTAGAGGCAGCAAGATTCCTCATTTTCTGGACTGCCAATGTTGTTCTACCGACTGAAGATTTCACTAGCTCTTGGGAGAACGCGCAACTTGTCGATGGTGAGTTCATGTCATCCTTGTCTGAGAGGGGAACGTGTCTTGCTAATATCTGATGAGCAGACACAAAGCCGTCCCAGCCGGAAACATACAAGCTCAGTCGACTAAGGTCGAGTGTTGGGGTTTCAGTCTTAGCACTTCTCGATTCGATCAGTCCTATCAGCAATCTTGAAAGTGACGATGGAATTGATGTCATCACCTCCATAGCCGCTTTCACTTGTAGGCTGGATCCTTGGACAACGGAGCAGGCGTTTGATGATGCCTCAACTATTCTTCAAAATTATGAGTCGTTTCTTCGCTCAAATAGGAGAGAGGAGGAGCTGACTGCTGTTCTGGAAAATATTCTGAGAAAGAAAGTGAAACCACTGTTTTCGAAGACGAAAACGCCCGCGGTGACAGCCGCAGGAAGGAAGAATGTCCACCCTATTCCACAGCCCAGATTTGACCCTAGTATTTTTGACCCAGAGTCCAAGCCGTGGAAGTTTAGATATGTGTATATTATTACGGTGCTTTCTTGGGTTATTGAAAGATATTCGGTATGATGATATCCACCGTTTCTATAACTATTAACCCGGGCACCAACCAAGATATTGACTGAGAGCTCACTGTAACAAGAGATATGTTTCTACAGTTCAATGGAGATAAAGTACTAACTTGGAGAATCCATTTTTATTAGCCATCCGACAAGTTCTCACTTGAATCACAATTCCCTCTCCTCGTCCCCGCAATCCTATCCCTGATAGATGATGAAAACCTCTCTTTCAAGGCGAAGGGCTGCGAGCTTCTCTTGAAATTCCTATCCCCGCTTGAGCAGTCAAACTCTGACGTACTCCAGCGCACAAACCTGGATTCTGTGTTCCAAGAAGCCCTTTACCCTTGCCTCCTTTCCATTCCTACGATCACTCCTGAGGCCGAATCTATCCACCTTCTTCAATATGCCTACCCAGCACTTTTTGCCGTCATCCGCACCCGCTTCTCTTCACCCAAAGTTCCATCTGCACCAACGCTACTGAGGCCGTACCAAACTAAAATGAAGCACGACCCCGATTCCCAAAAGCGTCTGGAATCCCTTACTCGCCTTCTTCGCCACGGCATCCTTCACTCTTACCATCACACCAGCAACCCTCGTCCTATAGAAAACACGTCCATATCCTCCTATCCATATCCCCGCCTCTCGGCCCTCCTTCTCTCCCAGCTCCCACCGGCCCTCTCGGAACTAGGCATCCACACCACCAAGCATCTGCAAGATCTTGTTCCGACGATTTCGGCCGCATTGTCAAACCCGTTTGGGACAGCATTCCCTCCACTTCTTGCTGCGGCAGCTGAAGCGGCGAGAGCACTCGTGTTGAACGCGTGGCCGAGGGTTTGGAGGTGGAGGGCAGAGCTGCTAGGCGGGTTATGTGCGTGTTGGTTGCATATTGCTGATGATTTGGTAGATATAGGTATAAGTGCCAGTGGTGATGGCGATAGTGGTGGTGGCGGCGGACAGACGGTTGTTTTGTTGCAGTTACAGTGTGCGCTTAAGGTTGTAGTTGCAGTTTTAAGGATTGCGATCGAGGAGAATGTGGTTGCGGCTGCAGAGGAGGGAGGTAATGGAACAGGAGGACGGGATGGAGACCAGGGGGGAAGGGAGGAAGAAACTATAGATGTAGATCGCGAATTTGGGAAGTTGGTTCAGGGAGATGACAGGTTGCGTGAATTGTTAATTGGTAATGAGTGTTTCGATGCCCAATAGGGGTTAACAAGGACCATTTCAAAAGAAAACAACTACATATGACCTTTAATCTTTAAACCCTCCCAACGCCAAGTTGCACATTATTAGTCTCAAATTTTCGGCTGTCATAATGTCAATGAGTGTAAACTGCGGAGTCTAACGTCCATATCATCTAGAATCCAAACCTTAGCAACCAAAAGCTATCGTATCCAGAAAACTAAACAATTAAATATACCACGAAAGAAATATACACCACAGCACAATTTAGGCGGCTTGGTTCGTTACCATGAACCGCCATATAAAGGGGGTTTTCATGAATCCACTCGCTGCTTGAACAGGCTTTTCCCTCTCAACCATTGTCGATAACGTTTGTACCTCTTCTTATTATGGTCCTCTGCTATAACTGTCAATCCTTCCTCATTCACATTGACAAACTCAAGATAGTCTGGTAAATTATCCTCCGCTAACAAGTCTAAGTTCGCATCGTCCACTGCGCATTTGTTGGCGTACTCGAAGAGATCAAGATTTGATCCACGCTCCGCCAGCGATGCGGCAGCCAACGTGTCCTCTGAAGTCACTACAAGGGGAACTTTGAGAGGGTGATTGATGTAGCGTTCGTACTCTTCTGCTTCCACAGCCGAGACTGATGGGTGAAGTGATTCGTACACTAGCTCGTCTAGGCTCCATTGGATGAGTTGGGATTTACTGGGAGTACGTGAGTGGTTGGCATTGTAGGTTGTTACGTCGTCCGGAAATTCGAAACGGGGTAGTTTCGTTATGCTAGCCTGGGGTGGGTAATTCTCGGCAGATGGCGGTTGTTGAAGCCAGTTCTGAATAGGTCTGGAGACGGCAGATGAATCGATGCGTGAACTCGTGGACCATGGATCTTCACTTAGGAGGTCTGATGGTTCTTGGATAGTCACGCCTTTTCGCTGGGATGGTTTCTTCTCACGACCATCGGGTTCATTGATTACTCGTACGACAAATGGACTTAGATCGTACTGAGGGTCTTGGATCGATCGGAAAGGAAGATAACGTATTGTTGATTTCATCTTATTAGAGAAAATTTTGGAGAAGGAGGAAATGGCCAAGGGGCGGTAGTATTCCAGCCAGTAGTCATCGTAGTTGTCGACCTGGGGCTTCTCTACATCTTGTTGAGTCACGGCCCAGGATGTTTCTTGAGGCTTCAAGTACTCCGGGTTGAACCAGTCAATATAATTACACTTGTTCGACCGCACTCGTGGATGTGAATGATGGAGATAATAATCTGTGGCGAGTTCCCATAGCATGGGCTGGCTCTGGGAGAATATGTAGTTCCCTAGGAATAAGTTGTATGCCTCCTGGCGCTGCGCATCGAGAAAGGAATTGTTGTAATATCGTTTAACGCTTTCAACCATATCCCTGGAATGACCTGTCCATTGATTGATTTTTCTATAAGTTGCCATAGTGTTCACAAGGTGAGATCCGCCGTATTGAACAGCTATTGTATCTCCATGATGATGCCACATGGCTGTGAACAAGTTCATAGCATCAGTGTCATACTGAACGGATGTCCCGTCGATAATCCCTAAAGCATGGAGTTGATATCCAAGTGCTCGTTTCCCAATGACAAACTGGGCAGCATTTGTTCGGTCGAGGCAGTCGATGCAATTTGTTCTTGCAACGCCATTTTGCAATCGCAACCCAGATTCAATATCATCGCCGTTCCGGAAGAACCCTGTCTCTGGTATAATGTCCTCAGCAATGTCCTCTAAGGTGCCGATCACATCTTGGTCACGACTCTTTGATGCACGACTCATGTCCCAAGCCTTGTACAGAATTTTTTTATCTTCGGGAAGAAATTGATTTAAATAAGTAATGGCATTTGTAAATTCCGTAAGTAGTTTGGATTCCCGCGCAACTCTCTCCCTGGCTTTGATAAGGTTCAGGACGTACACAGGTGCGCCATATCGCTCGAAGAGGTTGTTGAAATGAAGAGCAGCAGCTGAATAGAACGGGTCAACAAGACTCAACTCAATATCGGGCTTCGGGCTGACACCAGTGCTATCCTGCGTCCAGTGCAAAGGGATACTCCCACGGTGTTGCACATAAGAAGTGTATTGGGGATTTGCATAAAGTTTCGGTCCGGGGGAGTGGAAGGAGGTGGTCAACATTTCCGACACAATCTGTTCGGTTTCAACATCGTTTGCGACGTAACCAAGATCGTTCGCGCCACGCTTTAGAAAGCGTGCTCCTGCAAAAAACCTAGACCGCCGGGCAATAATTGTCACATATACCAGCCTTCCATATACGCATATCATCGACTGATCAACATATCCATGTATGATTGGGAGACACCAATCAAATGCATTCTTTAAAAGGGAGACCACAGGCTCCAACATATAATAATTCCACACAAACATTGTATTATGGTCAACGTTGCGACCATCAGAAGGCCCTTTCTGAAGTCTCTGTCGTTCATAGGAAATATTTCGCTGTAGAGTGCGGGTGATGTTGTAAGAGTAACTGAAGTAGAAGGATCGTGTTAAATCGACATTACTCATAATAGTTATGAACCTTGCCTCCTCGGCACTTTTTTCAGATTTTGTTCGGGCTGATGTTGTAGATGTTAGTGGTATAAGTTCCGTGCCGTCAATCTGGTAGATATAATGCCCGCCAATCATTGCAACTTGACTTCTCCTGGTTACCAAAATCATGTAGTATGGCCCAGTGAACCTAATGAAACCCAGGAGGCCCCAGGAACTACATCTAAGCTTTAAGCCACCAGAGCTTTTGTTTCCATCATCAACTGCATCAAGAAGATGATTCATTTCGCTTTTGGTATAAACAGTATCGTCTTCTGAGATATTGAGATCATCCACCGCAGAAGTGCGCTCGATCTTCAGGATCCGGAACCGTTGCTCCAACAGATCCATGCCCACCATGTAATACCGCGTTGAAGTTTCATATAACGAGAACTTGTGCATTCTGGAGACCCAATCATCTCCTACTTTCCCATCGAGAAAATACCGACTTCGCTGGGCGCCGGTCGAAGGGGAAGAAGTCCGTTCGAATGAATTCGCGACATTTGGCTCCTCATCTCCACCCTCCGTATCCTCGTCAAACATTGGTACATTGTGAGAAGGGTCGCGGCTAGCTAAATTCTCCACGAATGGCACACCGTTGCCATTCTGTTTGGTGTCTTTGATGTCGATATTACGAGGTGCTGGCTCCGAGGGAATAGCTCCATCTGCTGAACCCTGCTCCTCGCTTTCGAGTAGTGTTTTAAGAGGCCGCACTACATTATCGAAACTCTCCATTGGAATAGGACAACATATGGTATGGCCGCAGAAGAGGAGTGCGTCAGGACGGGATGCTGGTCGAGCATACGTTCAAAAGTGTCGTGTTGTCGAGATCATTGGGCGTTGTTGAGGATGCCAACTACGTCATTTCCTTATCTCGGCCAGCTACAAGATGATTGGCCACTGTAGTAGACTAATCTCAAATCGATAATTCAGCTCAAATATTGAGATCGGTTTTTTTTTTTTTTTTTTTTTTTTTTTTTTAATATTGAATATGTTGTCCTGACCTTTTAAAACATTGAAGCCATCAAGATCTCTTATACTCTATAAAAATACCAATCTTCAGAAGCTGATCATAATAAGAAATCCAGGAAATAAATCAGTTCTTGCTATCTATATCCTTCTCCTATCAACACCTTCTCTCACCTAGGGCATCAGATTCTAGCCGACGACGCAGGCAGCGATTCCGTGTGGAGTAATTCGGTATGGTGATTTAAATATGGCTTTGGTTGCTAGCTGTGGGCGCTCACTGACCTCTCGAAGTAGAATCCTCAACTATCCTATCGCTCTTTGAGCAAAGCTCATTTCTTTATATAGCAAACTATCAAGTTATAGGCAATTTACATTCCGCCGGAGAGCAACGTCGGTCTTGACATCAGCAACGGCCAAATGCTCCCCGACATTCCTCCCTTCCTTCTTTCACCATACCTACATTAGCCACATGCAGCTAATAGAAAACACTTGCTTTGACAAGGTGTTAACAGTAATTCGAAAGGGTGGTGTGTTTGACAGTTCGCTTTGTGTCACTACATTCCCGGGAAACAATGCTCGAGCCGATCCAAGAGGCTTCCCTGGGCGGATGCCGGATAGCCTTAGTTGGCTTGAAAGCGTACTGTACTCAGCAACAGCTTAATTATCCAAATAATGTTACAGCCAACTTAATACCCCTAAAGAGACGGGACCACCAATTTTACTTATGCAAACTACTTCCATTGGAGGGGGCGGATTACTCTTTAGCACCGAAATACCCCATTCATTTGACACTATGTCACATTTGCATCGTTCCCAGGAGGGCTCGCACAAGTGGTCTCCAAGGTTAATTTCATAGTTTGAGGCCTGAGCGCTTGTACTGTACAAGTTTGCGAGTAAGGCGGAGAAAACTTATCCATGAATCTTCGCTGAGACTCCTCTGTTGATCTACCAACAAGTTGGCCACGAACAGCAATTCATGCTGGGCATGGATTACTGTGTTCTGCCCAGAGAAAGTGTATGGATCCTGATTGACGGGGCAAATCTACTGTATTTTTGATGGTGGCCGAACAGGATACGTTGGTGCTGTTAACCTTTTATCTATTATCTTGCATCTGGATGGCTTTAACTGCTGCGGGTACGTTATTCGTTTCCTGATTCTTCAATAGGTTGTTATTTGTTGACGGTGAGAAACGTGAATCAGCCCTTTATGTTCTATGGGCCAATAATCATACGAGGAAAGCCAACCTGTTATTGTTACATTCTGAGAACTTGGGATGGACTTGACAAGCATCAACGAAGATCCATCCATACATCATGTTAAACGAGTGCCTGGCGACACGGCAAACCACTCTTCGACCAACCGAATAACATCAACGCCTTGGGAATTTTGGATGGTGCCACTGCCACCGAGAGAATTGGGTAGGGCGGTGTTCATTTGGGACATTCCCCGTGTACGAATGTGATCTTTTTATTTAGACATATTATCAGCGGGAACTGGACTCCAAATTTGGGTGCAGATAAACCACCCGAGGGGACCAACAGGAAGATTTTGAACAGCTCCTGTTGCTTACAGGGGAGGCGCTTTTCTGGTGCTACCACAAGCGTGCCCGGTGTCAAGGGCCATCGGCGAAGATTGTATTTTTTGGTCACCCACGAAGCCACTCGCTGACGGCAACACCCAAAATCAGGAGTGTGACCAATGCAGGAAACCCATTTTGCGACTTGTTGGTTTTCCCATCACTAGTCTCCCAGCATGCGCATTGTTGCTGTGCAGGCTCCCGTCCCGCTTCCACGGCCCATGAATCTTATACTACCGTCGTCATGATTGAATTTTCGGCATCGGGTAGCTGGCCACGCACTAAAAATAGAGCCTTCCTTTGTTCGGTGGCTCTGGGATACCCTCGGAGCCCTACCCTTGCCCCATGCACCCCGGCCCGTGTCCATGTCGCTCAAAATTCCCACCTTTCGCCTGGTGCATTATTCGGATTCCAAGCCTCTCCGATTTTTCGATGGGGTCATGTTTAAAAGCAGGTGAGCAACTTAGCCACAGCAAGTGGGAAGCCGACCGTTTCGAGCAGCATTATATCTTCGGTGAAACAGAAATTTGCGCCCAAGGGGCCGGGTATTACACGTTATTTGGAACGTCGTGGACACTGGCTGGTATTGAAACAGCCAGCGGAGACAGTGCGAGAAGATGCGGCAAAGGAAGTGTAAGATGTACTGTACATGTCCCTAATATGGGGGATGAAAAGGTTGTGTAGCCCCGACGTTGTTCACCTATTTGCCCTTGCGATGTGTAATAAATAATTGTATTTCGGCACCCAGCCCGGTGGGTGGGATTCAATATCGCGTACTAAGTGCTCACGTCAGTACGAGCTGGTTGTAATATTTCCACGGTCCCTTTTTTCGGGCTATTATCCTATTTCCCGTTATTATTCGAGACTTGCCGTTTTTCATTAACTGTTGCATAGTTGGAAATGGCAGCTACCGCAGAGATAGCTTGGTCAAAGTACCAAAATCCTCAACCCTATGGGGTGGGTCAAGACACGGCAGCGTGAAATAATGGCTTATGTTTTTGAAATGCTCAGAGTAATATGCCTCTGCCCTGTTACTTTCTATGGCGATGATCTTGAGAGAACACAAATATGCTGATAAGCAAAATCATGCAAGGAACGAAAAATACTTGTTGCTGCTGTCATGGCTGCTGCTTTGGGCATGGAGGCCAAACAAAAGATGCACAATCACGAAAATGCCAGAAAAGAAAAAAAAACCTTTTACCCCTTTATTCCTGCAATCCATAATACTACAAAGCTAAAGGAAAACAATTCTATAAATGGGAAAAAAAGAGAGCACCGCGCCCAACCCATGTGCAATCAATGTACTGTACATACAGTACATCCCATTTATCTATCTTTTCAACCCTTTTCTATGTGCATGCTTCGCATTATGAATATAGAACCACACACATACAGACATACACTCACTCTCTCTAGCTCTCCCCAAACAAATAATAACTAAGCTCACCACCCCATCAGCAAAGGATGCGCCTCCGTGTTAAAAACGTACTTATCCAAGCTCGCGAGATCCGGCTCGCTAAAAAGAAGATAAAAATACTTCAGTGTTTCCCCGGTCCAGAACGATTCCATTCTATTCGTAATCGTCGGATTCGGTGACGCGACATCATCCAGGCCACCGTAGGCGAACTCTGTCTTCGCATGCTTCTCGATGGCGAAGAACATTTCCCACCCTTTGTCTTGGAGGGTTTTGTCGCCGGTGATGCGGTAGAGGATGAAGACGGATTCGATGGCCTCAGGCCTGATTTGCGTGTGCGCGATTTTTTGGTGTTGGGTTAGTTAAAAGGAAACAAAAGAAGAAGAAAGAAAGAAAGAAAGAAAGAAACGGAAAAGATCGTTTACATTCTTAGGAATAGAAAAAGTAGAGAAAGTATACTATACCTTAGAGAATATCCGCCATGGATGATTGCGGAAAAGCCAGCAACCTTACCCTGCTCACGGCCCATGCGCTCATAGTCACTGTCTGAAGCCCCTTCATGGATTTCACCAATGAACCAGGACTCCGGCCTCCACTTGCAATCCCTCGAGTCTTCGCAAGGAACTACCTCGAACGTCTCCGGCATTACCCCGCTGGGAGTGGCTTTGTATGCCCAGATACAACCTTCCGTGAGTTTTCTGGCGATATCCAGCTCCTCAGGGCGGCTGAATACCTTAGCAGCAAGGGCAACCATGCCCCCTACAAAGCAAGTTAGGTGTTGGCCTTGCGGCCTGAGTGTGACCCTCGTTGTCCCTGCAATAAATGCAGTTCCGGAGATCAGGATATCGTCACTGTCTTTGGTCATGGGCCGGAAGAAAATATGTTTCTTCGCCACTTCGAGGGCCTTTTCGTACATATCTTTGTACTGCTGGTTTCGGCCACCGAGTAAGAGATATTCCTAATTCCATGCGCATTGTTAGCTCAAATATCGCGGACAGACCAATTTGTATCTGTAGTAGCTTCGTACTTTCGGTAGGTACTCGTATAGAGAATCTGCCATGCCGCCAAAGGTAAACCTACGATCCCTCTCAAACGAGGGAGTTCTTGCGTCGACTGATACCGGCCATAGTCCAGGGACCTTTGTGTTAAACTGGTGTTCCTGAAGAATAGTAGTGATTCGTTGGATAGCATCATAGTACTTGGGGTCCCCAGTAATCTGCGATAATCGCGTGAATTCCAGCGATAATGATCCGAATTCAGCAAGAACAGTCAACATGCTTGCTTCCTGGTGATAACCGTCCCTCGCTCCATGCCAGTACCAGCGGAGGACAGGCATTCGGTTCGGGGTATCGAATGCCACATAAAGTAGATCGCCCACTTCCACAGCCTTTTGCAGAAGTATCGGATAAGCCCCCTTTGTGAGATCGTGGGCTGCTAAAAATCCCCCCAGATACCGAATATTTGTTTCAAAAACATTCAGCAACGATGTGTCGCTGGATGAGAAGTCGATGTGCTTAACTGCCGCGACAGCTTCCTTAAACTCCTTCTCTAAACCCATGAGCCACAACGTATCCAGAGTATCAACCAGAGTTGCGCCCCATCCACCATAGGGATTTCTCCCTCCACCATCGACGGGTGAAAGCTCATCCTTCAACCATGCATATTTCTTATATCCCTTCCATGAATGGAGGAAGGCCCGTTTTACTGCGTCCCGGCGAACTTCTCTAATCGTCTTGGAATCTGGATTCTCGGATCCAAACTCGAATTGGATTTTTGGAATCGACATGGGTTTGGATGTTGGAAGAGGTACCATAGACGTCACAGGGTGTTTTATGACATGCCGTTTGTACCAATCGCGGATAACTTGCTGTTGTCGAGTCGCGGTTGGGCGCGGGAAGGAGGACGAGTCGAGGCTAGTTGAGAGCTGATTTACGTCGAGGAGAATGAATAGGAAAACAAAGGAGCAAGCGAGGGTGACGACCCATCTTCGAATCCAGGTCATTGCTGGATATTTAAAAGGAGAGAATTCAGGGAAACAAGACCGAAAGGAAGGAAAAGACGGGGTTGACGACAAGCGACAACAACCTCAGCCACCGCCCTGAGCATCATTACTCAGGTTGCAGGGAAGAGAAGAAGGAAAGGCAGCATTTGCAACTGAAGAGATATAACATTGCTACTACTTTTCAATGATTTACAATTCGTCTCCTCTCTTTCAGTGCTTCAAAATGCTCCACGAAGCCAAAGGAATGACCGAGCTCCTGATGTTCTCTGCTCCCACTGTGGGCCCATTGTGCTCCCCTAGCTCGTGTTAGGCCGTGATCCCAAAGCCACCTAAAGTGCTTAAGTATCCTGATTGGCAGCTAAATTGTGTCCGGGGTCTACCCCAGCCGGCAGTGACGTAAGCTTGGCTTTGGGGCTGCAGTTGCCCGGACACCGCCAATAGTTAGGCGTCAGTCTAGCGGCTTCCAGGCGCTGTTCGCCAGGGCTTGGACTCTTTGGGGGCTTCTTGTTGGGCTTTCGAACGGATCCTTTCCCCCCTGCATCCTGTATGTCTTGCACTCCGGCCCGAATCCACGGCTCCATTTCGTTTCATGCCTGTCTCACATGTTGCGAAGTTTTCAGCCAAATCCAGATTCCAGCTTCAACAACTACTACGCTGCGTAGTAGTTACCTGAAATAGTACCCGGCAATGCCCAAAAGAAGCCGATATTTTCTTGCAGAAATATACTCTTTTGTTCCTGGACGACGACCGGGCTCCAGCTGTCTGAATCGTTCCGCCCGGAAAAATATTCAGCAGGCAAGCTGGGATGAGCAACCCGCATGGCAAATTTTTGAGCTGGCCCCTTGCTCAAAACTCCGGACTGTGTTAAATGATGGAGATATGTCGGAGCATCCCTTGGAAATCAACTGCTTGCTATGGGGCTGAATTTGCATTCAATGTGCTGTCGCGTAGGACTACGGAAGAGAAAAGAAAAGGAGGTTGTGTTCATTCAGGCCATTCTAGCATTCCACTCGCGGATTCAACTTCGCAGAGTAGCGATGGAACTAGTCGTCGAGGACAAAAGCCGCCGCACATTTTGGAGAAGAAAATAAGACTTGCCCTGGTCATCACTGAGCCGAACCCCGATATCTGATCGCGAAATCCTTTCCTCCTGCTGGTTTTCATGGAGATTCGAGGTAAACCCGTTAGAGCCCCCGGCCAATGGCCTGAACGCCACGTGATTGCTGCCTGAAAGGAGCTCGTATCGTCGACTTGGCGGTTTCTTGTTCCTCGCAAGCTACGCCCAACCTTCACCATTATTTGAGCATTGTCGACGTTCACCCCGCCCCTTCAAACATTCGAGGATCGTTCAAGGGTCAATGCAATGAGTCACAACCAGATGCAGTATGTCAGCGTGATGCGGAGCGAAATTAGGCCGCTTGGTTGGGACATAAAAGCAGCTTTCTCACCAGTTTGTTAACTCCGTACCTCGTTCGCTGACCCTCCACAGGAACCCTCTGAGCACGCTGAAATCTCAACATCTCGCGATCAAACTTAATCAATTGTGTCCATCCACCTAAAGCCAAGAAAAACAAAACGTCCCCCAATCATCATGGAATCCCCAACTTTTGCCGTTCCCTCGCACAAAATCCACACATGCCTCTGGTTCGAAAAGGACGCCATCAAGGCCGCCGAGTTTTATGTTTCCCTCTTTAAAAACTCTCGCATAGTGAACAGCAATGATACCCTGGTCACATTCATTCTCGACGGACAAGAGATATCCCTCCTGAATGGCGGTACTTATTACACCCTTTCCCCGGCCGCGTCCCTTTTCACTATTTGCGACGATCAGGACGAGGTTGACCGCCTGTGGGCCGCGTTGGTGGCGGATGGTGGAAAGGAGTCGCAGTGTGGTTGGCTCACTGATAGATTTGGTGTCTCGTGGCAGATTGTGCCGAGATGCTTGTTGGAGTTGATGGGGGATTCTGACAAGGCCAAGGCAAAGAGGGTCACTGATGTGATGCTCAAGAGCGTTAAGTTTGACATTGAGGCGTTGAAGAAAGCATATGAAGGAAGCGATTGAAGCCTCTCTTCGCTCCACGATGACACATGTTTGGCATGCGCGTCGCACGCAAGTCCTGTCCTTCAGGGACCGGTTCGGTTTTGGCTTACCTGTCTACTGTTTCAGATCAGCTTTGGAATTTTTAGCATGCAGGGAATGTGTACTCCGTAATGGGTTATCTTTTGTCCAGTATATTATTGTTTTGTTTTGTCCATTCACCTTGCTAGTACTGATTCTGCTAGAGAGCCCTCGCCCTCCTTATGCCTCAATCATCGCGTGATATATATTCTCTGTACTATCTCTACGACATCGCTCATGAATATGTTTTCTGTATTTCCAAGAAGTCCATCAATGATCGTGGTGGCAAAATTGAATGCCGAACGCTGATAAGCTTTGGTATTCCAAGGTTGTTTACCTTACAAAAATCGGCCCGATAACCAACCACCCAGCTTCCGATGCCGATGCCCCAATTGAGAAACGGGAAGAAATAGCTAGGTAGGGCGAACAACACAACAAAGGAAAAGTAGAATATGAGAAGAGGCATGCCAGTTTATAGTCAAAAACTCAATGGCCCACGCTGGAAATTCAATTGAAGCCGCTGATGAGTTAGAGTAAAGCCACTCCACAAAATCACTTTGAATCCTGCGCTCCCAACACGAGAACTCCTCCAACATCATGATAAATATTCCTTCCCCTCCCGGTCCTTGCTAAACTGTTCGACCACGTAATAGCAAAAGCCATGCAAGCAAAGCAATCCCGCATAACCTACTTGTCCACTCCCATCTCTGTCATCCAACCGCAGAAATCCTCATGAATCCAAATTTATATAGAATGGATTGATGAGTCTCCTAGAGTCTGGGGTGGCCCAGCCTATCACATATGAGGGAAGATACCGTGAGGCAGAGTGAGGTTCTCAATGCCGTGGCAGATCCGCAGGCAAGAAAAATATACGGGAAGGGGGTGAGTGATGTATATCTCGATGAGAATGCAAGCGACCGGGCTACATTGTGGCTACTTGCTGGCGTTCAGCTTGATCTTCTCCACTACGCCTTGTCACACCTATTCCGGTTTGAAAGGAGAAGAGGATACCCCATGCCTGTGCATATTATATA